GGGTGAAGATGACGCGGGTGAAGATGACGCGGATTCGGCTACTTTTGAGGCCGTCCTTGACGATCCATTCGCGAGTGATATCGATGAACACTCGGAGGCCCAGGCTCTCTCACCTCAGAAGAGGCTTCCTGTCCGGATTGGTAGGGGAAAGAATAAGAATAGGGATTAGTTTCAGTTCAATTGCTACAATTGGTTATGCATCTAGTCGTATAGTTGGTCTCCCTCACCCCAGTCAATCTCTTCCTCCTCAATGCGTTCCAAAAGCGAAGCAGTATCGATATCGTGAGTGGCCAAATGATCACGTACGCGGTCTAGGCCACCCGTAGGCGTCTCCAATAATGCCAGCTCTGGCTGCTGCTTACTCCTAATGTACTGCCGTAAACGATCTCGTAGGAATAGATACGCTGAAAGCTTAGGTTGCTGTGGCGGATCTCTTGGCAGATCTTCCTGGCCTCTAAGAATGCGATCACAGATAGCTATTGTATCTTCTGGCAAGTAGGCATCAAGATCAATACGGTCCCCGTCGAAGATATCTTGGAGCGTTTGTAATCGATCTTGAGGGATAACCTCTGCAAAGCTCTCAACCTGCCGTGCGGTAGGCTGAAAGTAGAGGGTCCATGGCTGCCCAGGAACCACATGCGGCCTATTGCGTTGTTTGCGAATGTAGTGCGAATTCCACGTAAGTACGAAGTCGGCAAACTCAGCCCGCAGGATCGGCATGAAGAGATAGAGCATTGCAATACGGTCGGGTAGGGAGTCGTTCGAGAAATGGCCAAGTGCGGTAATTTCACCAAAATACTCCTAGATTCAGGTTAGCATAGGGTCGAACGGAGTGATAATACTACATACCCGCCAGAATTTAGCCCTACCCCTACTCAATCGAAGCCACCAGCTCTCAATCTTTTCGTTATGCGTGCTTTTGCCATAGATCCAGCAGTCTCGAAAGCGCACATCTTGTGGGATACCTTCCCGTGCGCGTACGCGGGTCTTCGAAAGGTAATAATGTGCTCCAGCCATAAGGATTGTCTCTTGGCCGCGGTCGGAACGGATGATATTTGGCATGGTTTTCCGCTGCGAGAGAACATCGAGATACTGTGCAACAACGCTTCGTGACGTACTAGAGGATATGCCCACGTAGAACCACGTAATAAACCGTGAGTAAGCGTCAATGGAGGCATAGATCTCAAAGCCCCAGGCCTTCAATTTATCGTACGCATCAAGGGACCAAATAAAGTCGGGGCCTGGAGAAGTCCATCCAGTTCGGCGATATCGCATCGTATTCCACCGTTCGGTAACACAAGTAGGGGAAAAGTCGCGAAAGCATGAGTACAGGGCTCGGCGGCTCAAGATATGATGATTTCGACGGACATATACGTAGAGTAGTGTGCGCCCGTAGGTCTCAAGCTTAGTGTGTAATTCGGACTCGTCTTCAAAGAAACGGCGCAATTCGTGAAGTCTCTCGCTAGTCATCTCAGGGGTTTGACGCCGCCAAAGGCCTAGGTCTCGCCGTATCCGTGAGAGGCCAGTCTTTGAGATCAGAAAGCCCTCAGAGTGAAGCTGCAGAAGCATAAAGTGATCGTTCAAGACCTTATCAAAGAATAGGTCTTTAATACGCTCACGTAGTTGTTCAGAGTCTTCGGTATACTGCCTCATGGAAGCATTCCAGATCTTCAGGTTGCGATATACGGTCGTACGTTGAACTTCGATGTGGAATTCGTTATTAAGGCGCTGTACGATTTGTTTGAGCGTGAGACCGTCGTCGTTTTTCCATTGTTGAATCTGAAGGCGAAATGGGGATATATCAATTGAAGGGCGACCCCTAGGCATCTTGAACCGTATGTTGCCGTACGTAGTCAAGTGTAGGCGTAGGGAAAGAGAGGAAGTCTGAGTTGAGATTGCGCGATTTAATTTTGAAAAAGGGGGTTTGTTACGTTTGTGATCGTATGGCGCCAAATTGCCTCATGCATAATATGTTTAGCCTCACTTGGTCAGACCCACAAGATTTTGAACAAAATGTCATAAGTGAAACACAAAGCATGATCAAAGAAAACTTGATTTCAGACTCTAGCTAAGAAAAGGGTATCATAGTTCACCGTACGTCCTCGTGCGCTAATATACGCGAATGTATTCTGCGTTTCCTCGTAAATCAAAAAAAAAAAAAATTCAACTCAGAGCGAAGTGACTAGGCGGACTACGGGTAAAAAAAAAAAAAAGAGTTAGTAGAGGCTCGTACATTTACGTATTGGGTCAAATACCTTAAGCCGACTTCGAAGAGGTGCCTTTCTTGTGCTTCTTGCGGTTGGTAGCTGCCTTGAAGATCTGCACAAGCTTCTGGCAGGTCTTGAGGTCAAGGTCTTCGAACGGGTCCGTATCATCACTGTCGGAATCGTCGTCGTCGTCGTCGTCGCTAACCTTGCGCTTGGTACCACGCTCTTGTGGCCAATCAGTATAGAAAATGAGAACGTATTGCAGCGTACTTACTCGTGAAGGAGCAGGCGGCGCCAGATCGGTTCCAGTCGCAATTAGCGCAGGCCGGGGTCCCCTCAGCGACAATGCATCCCTTGAGGGCCCCGTTGTTCTTCGTACACTTGTAGCAACGGTCCGTACCCTCCCGTTCGTCGCCGTACAGATGACGCAGCATAGCGTCGCAATTCTGGCCGCTGCTGAAGTTCATCACGTACGGGGTCTCCTGGAGCTTCTTCTTGTCCTTCTTGCTGCGGATCTCCAGCAGGCGTGGGGTCTAATACGGGTTAGTACGTGATCAACCAGGCTAGTACAGGCCTAAGATAAAGGACATACCTTGGTAGAGTCAACAGCTTCCTGGCCCTTGGTGGTGCTGCCCTTCAAAGCGTTCATCAGAGCCCAGATGGTGGCCTCCGGATTTGTATCGGGCTTATCGGTCTTGTACGCGAAAGTATAGGTCTCAACGTCAAGGACCTTCTTGGGCAGCAGGTTGAATGCGCGCTCGCCCATATCCTCGCGTAGGGCGTCGATCGCAGCCGTATCAGCAGCAGCAGGGGTCTCCTTGGTCTTGGGGCGGTTGCGGTTGCCTCGGGGCGCCATGATGATGTGTACCAAGCCGTATTGCGTGAGAAAGTGTGCGTACGGAATCGAATTGGGCCAGCGAGGGGAGGAAGGATCGTCAACTGGTGCTGCGTGGTTAGGTAGAAGAGATTTACGCCGCGCGAACAGTGATTTAGATGAATGACTAAGCACATGCAAGGTAAAATAATCCTACAAACGGGGCCGTACGGGGGTCCGCCCGGGGGAAAGGGGGGGGGTGACCCAATTCAAAAATCTTCAAAATTGAATTTTGGAACTCTGCCCCTTGTGGCCTTCCGTACACGCCCGTTATAACGCAGCCTCGTTCATCGATCATGATGTGTTAGCAGCCCTCGTACCGCCTCAAGATAGGTTTGTTTCCGCAGGTGCTTGCTCCACCGCTCAGGTACCGTGTGCTGACAAAACTTTCGGTTGCATCAATAGCGCGATTTGATTCCGCTAATTACTGGACTGAATAAGCCAACCCGCGCTTGCTTTTGGTGAGCAGGGTTGCGTTTCAGGCCATCAACGCGACCACTACGTCGTATAAGTCACCTCTGTGTTGGCTCCATCAAGCTTTCGGGGTTGCGTTGGGGCTGCAGATCGAGGCGTGGGTCTACCCATGTCTCATTAGGCTGATTCCAGCCGCCGACTATGCGACAGGGCTGCTACCAACGCGGACCCTGGCTTGTTTCCCCAGCGCCCAGTTCGCACCTGAGCCTCATCCAACCCCGCCCAATTCTGGGCCGGAGAGTCCGCAATCCCCCGCCCCCTTCACACCGACAGCACGAGCTCTCCTGTTCATCCACCTACGCAAAGCATCAACGTCCTCTATTACCACCGGCTGTCTTGTTGCTTCCGACGAAGCCAATAACTCCGTACACTCGCAATTGTGCTCGTTAGTGGCATCGATTTTTGCCAGTTTCCCCAAATGTGGCTTGCGTTTCATAATTCGGTTACGCTAAAGCATCGATTAATGGACTCCGTCTGCTTCCTGAACTGGTATTGGTCTTCTCCATAGGAGACCTCGTAGTCAGGCTTAAGCTCGTCGCGCCTGCGCCATTGTGGGAGGCCGCGGTCGCCAACTCCCGACCCGTGGCGGTAACTCCGCCCGAATAATGTTTCCACCAGGGCTTTCGATAGGTCGGGATAGCCCAGTGACTGAGCACTTGTATCAATGAACGCACCTCAAGGGACGCACCTCAGGATACATCGCCGACGTATCATAGCCAGCCAGCTTGCAGCCATAGATCGCGTGGGTTCGAAGTGAAGGGCTGGTTCGAAGCCACGTAGAACCGGCCCTTGACACCCCGTAACTTATTGTTAGCCTAAGCACAGAACAACATAAAAATGTGTAATTCCAGCTGAGAACAGCTCGAAAAAAAAGCTAGACAAGCGCCTTGAGCGTAACTCCCAGTAGTAACTGCTCCCAATGTCCAGTTTCTCGATGAACAACATCCTGAATCCATCTCTTCGTGTTGAGGTTGGCAAAATACCTGTCCTTGGTCGTCTTCAAACCGGTTTCGGGCATCAAGTCCAGTATTTGGGCGCGCAATAGAAATGCCACAATTACATACGCTCCTTGAGTTGCCAAGTTCCTCTATTCTACGGCAGTTCTCTTACAAATCATTTGGCCGCCACGTAATCTGTGAGTCATTTTGGCGCCTATTGATGTGGTGGGCGTGGTCACCCAAGATGGCCGACTAAGGCAGGCGACCTGAGTGGTCGACCTCTGGCAAGTGAGGCTGGCGGACTGCATCCGAGCAATTGCCTAACTCACGAAAACGAGGCAACTTTGGTGCCTTCATTTGGGCTTCACCGACCTTTGAGCCTCATTTGTAGACCTTATATCCGCCGTCTGGTTTTATAAACAGCCTACGTGAACGCAAAGCTCATAGCTAAGCAGCATCCTTACTCTTTTATCCAACCTAATCTATTGCTGCACTGGAACCAACGACATGGAGACGCATCCTGGGCCAGGGCTCATTCTCGCAGATACTGAAACAAAAGTTAAAAAGTATGATGCTCTTGTTCAAACCAGGGAAAATCAAGTGCAGTACATGACGCTCATGTACGGCCACGACGCCCGCTTTCAGGTTGCTGTTCAGGGAGTGACAAGCTTGGACGAAAAGTCCTTGGCTACTTGGATGGAAGATGGCAAGGATTATGAAGTCCCAACTTTCCCCCTCGATATCGTCAAATCGGAACTTTTACCCGAGATACCCGAGACGATGAGAAATTTGGTTGAAAACCTATCGCCCTCTTTAGTTATGGAGATCATCGCCCAGCCCGTTTCTGGGTTGAAGCCGACGTACCGAATTCTCGAGAGCCTCGCCAAGCATTGCAAATACGGCATCGTTAAAAAGGCGCTGGATTGTCTTATTGCATACCGCCTGGCAACGTCTCCGGTCGTTTCGGATGGGACTGGTCCTCTTTTTGACAGCGGACACGGACGAGTAGCCTCTGAAACCTCTCGGCTTCATGGCAAAACTGCTGTGTCCCCGCTGATCAGTACAAAGCTTCGACTTGTTCTACTACGCGTTTGGCAGCAAAAGAGAACCGAACTATTGGAGGAGCTGTCCCAATACAAGATGATTCAGAAATGGCTAGTGATGCTGATCCTTCTTCTCAACCTTGAGGACGTTGAATTTGACTGCAAATATCGAGATCTCAAAGTCGTCGAGGTTGAGGAAGCCAGTGCGAGGGTTAAGAAACACATACAGACATTTCTGGTCGAAATTGGCTTCAATTCGAAATCTCTCGACATAGGAATGAATGATGTTGATGGCAAGGTTGTGGGTAATATTCTTAACTACAATAGTATGTACCACTTCTCATCAATCTCATCGGAAACTAACTGCGATGATAGAAGAAATGATACTTGCAACAAAGACGAAAGATCTCGCATCTGCCTTTGACCCCGATGATTTGAACTCGGTGGAAGGCATGCACACCTCTACACTCTTAAGGGAGAGCTTGAACACCTTGGCAGGAAGCTGGAGCTCAATCGGCGTATCGGGAGTTTTCCCGAACTGGAGGAGGTTGCTTTTCTTCGGCCTCATTGTGTCTCGCGTTATTTTATATTGGGTTACTGTCTAGTGGGTAGTTATGAGATGTAATTAATACTCTCTACCGGAAAGTATAGCCGATATTGCCTGGGTTTAATTTAATGTAGAAGGAAAATATAGTGTTTTGGCGCATCAAGCTCAGGCGGCCCTGAGGTTCATCCAGACAGACCAATTGCAATGCTTGCGAGAACAGGCCTTAGTTTCTCTGGTGTAAAGAATGGAGGGGCTTTTTGATGTTTATGCGATTGTTTGCTAGTACTCAAAATGAGGTTATTCAGCAGGTGTAGAAAGATGGATAGAGAGCTAAACTACAGTTGAGGCCGGAGCCGTAAGGGCTCCGGCTCCGTGTACCATCACATGCGACGCTGGTCATGAGGCCCGGAGCCCAAGACAAACTCTTAACGCATCAGATGTGAGCCCAATCATTGGCGTCTTGGCTGAGGCAGTGTCAACCTGGAGTGATAGCCTATCTGATCTCAACTCATTCGAACACAAGTCTCATGGCCGTGATTCTGGAAATAAAAGTGAAGGTGGTTCTTGAACTAACCATATATTCATTCGAATCTATATTTTCAGCTGTCGCATGACGGATATTACTGAGTATCTGTCCAACAACTCAGCCCACTCCCCGTCTGCAGCCGGAGTCGGGACATACTCTTGATGGTGTGCTCGGCCGTGCAGTGGAGCATGAGGCGGATCGAGGCGCCAACCGCAAACCCTCGAGCCAAAGACAAAGACCACGTTTAGAGATAATTTTTAGTGTGAATAATTCACATTTTAAGACCAAGAGATGGTCTCCCAAGGGGGCCTTTCAGCAAATGTCGCTGCGAGATCTCGTGAAAAGTTAGATCTCCAACACAGCTTCTCCGGTTTCATGATCAAGTTTCATGATCAACTCAGGGATCCACCAGCGTAAATTTGAGGACCGTGACATTCTCAAGAACATCGTCAATCTCGATGACGAGGGAGGATTTATGCTTCTGAAGGCCAGACTTCTCCAAGGAATCGAGGCGATCCTATGTCCCTATCCGGGTTCTCTCAACAAATGCCACCCCTTGTTCTTTGAGATATGCATTGAACCAATTTGGGATGGAAGAGAAGATAAAGAGTGCGGCGATGACGATGTCGGTGAAGATATCCTTTTCTGAAAATCGTTCTCCTCGGAGTTTATGTAGGTGCAGAGATTTTATGTTGGGGTACTTAGGGAATGAGTGCACATACGTTAGCGGTGGAAAGGGACGATAGCCAACACCCAACTCAACAGTCTCTTTTTGGTGACCACAGAAAAAGCGTCGCACAGGCGCTTTGCAAGGTCAGCCCGAAGCTGCACCACACTACGCGTATGTGGCCGGATTGATCTGAGGCTTATGTCTCCTAATAGGGAACCATCTAATCAGATGCTCTATCGTGTCGGTCGCAGGAAATAATGGTGGCAAGGCATCGATAAGGTCTGCAACAGCCCGTCAAATGGCAAAGTGGCAGACAGAGGCTGGACAAGGATCGTAAAGGCAGTCGTAAATATCTCGTAAAATCTCTCAAAATCAAGGGCAAAAAGTATTCATTAACTCTCCCAATGAGGACCTCAAAGACCTCTGTCCTTTCTAGACTCTAAAGAAAAGTCCCGGGAAGATGCCCCTTTCTTCTTTCCTGTTCCCCCCTCCCCTTTTTTCCTGGCGAGACCCAGCTAACGACCAGCTAGCCTAAGGGTCCCAGACCGCCCGCCACAATACCAAACCGAGTAAAGCCAAACTATTCCAGAGCTGTCAGACACAGCGCCGCGCTTCAGGCGGCTAATGAGATACCGTCCGTAGCAGTGCTCCGACACCCAAACCTAGAGCCCGGGATGACTGGAGGCCGAATGTGTTTAGCGATGGTTTTCAGCTCCCCAATTAAGGCTCGCTTGGAACACCATTCGGACTCCGTTAATGCACCTCCGTGACCATGCACAGCCGGGGCGAAGCGCCACCGGGGCCACCGACAGGGGCAATCGAAGCCTGTCGAGAGGCCCAGGAGGCCCGACGCAGATCCTGTTTGGACGGCGCGGGCGGTGGTGACGGCTGGCGCACCTCGTACAGGAGGAGATGGGACGTCGCACCCGGATCCATGCGTCGTAGTTTGTAGTTGTAGTCTAGTTGTAGTTCAGTAGCTAAAATGGAATAAAGCTCGTCGCAGCTCCCGTTCGCGACTGTTATTGCCATCCCAGCGAGCAGCCAACGTACCGATCCGACAGACCAACGACAGACAGGCCAACGACGACTCACAAAGCGACTCGAGATGCGGTGGACAACATGGGGGCCGGCCCTGGCCGTGCTGAGCAGCTCCTGCGCCGAAGCCGCCCTCTTCCCTCGCGCCGTCGCCGGCAAGGGCTTCCTCTCGGTGCCCGTCGGCACGGTCAACAAGCCCAAGAAGGACAAGGCGAAGCGACAAGACGGCACGATTCTACAACAATTGGAAAATAAAGAGTTCTTCTACGCGGCCGAAAGTGCGTTTTACACTTGCGGGATCCCCCTGCGCCCAGCATTCCAGAGACATGTTCCAGAAGACTAACCGTTGAAACCTCCCCTCGCCAGTCGAATTCGGCACGCCGCCACAGCCCGTCGTCGTGCTCGTCGACACGGGCTCCAATGAGCTCTGGGTCAACCCCGACTGCAACACGGCGCCGTCGCTGGAGCAGGAGGCGCAATGCAAGTCCTTTGGCGAGTACAACCCCGACAAGTCTAGCACGCCGCCCATCGGGCCCTTCGGCAAGGAGACGATCAACTACGGCGACGCCTCGGACCCGACGACGCATACATCGGCGACTATCCGCTACTACACCGAGACGCTGGGCTTCGGCGGTTCCAACATCACAAACCAGACGTTCGGCATCGTCGAGACGTGGAATGGCATCTCGCAGGGCATCCTGGGTCTCTCTCCCGACCTGCGCGGCGGCTTCGACAGCGACAAGCCCTACAGCCTGGTGCTCACGTCCATGGCCGACCAGGGCGTCATCAACAGCCGCGCATTCGCCCTCGACCTGCGCCACTCCGAGGCCGAGACGGGCGCCGTCATCTACGGCGGCCTGGACCGCAACAAGTTGATCGGCGAGCTGGAGAAGACTCCATCCAGTTTGGGGCTAAAATGGAGCGACATTGAATGCCTTGCCGTAGCACCACTAAACCATCGTGGTCTGTCTATCTAAGTGTATTATGGTATCCGTGTATACAGAGGAGTCACTTGAGGGTCCCAAGGTTATACTAGAAGTAGCGATCTACTCGACTACAGTGTCATGAGGATCGTTGTGACATGTCTCATAGAGTGTTCCCAAATACCCCGCTGTTGTGCTTCGGCCTGTCCCATGGGATAAATCACCCTTTTACTGTCCCGCTCCTCTATCCATAGTCTTAACTAAGAGTCATATTGACTGAGCTGCCGCAAGTGGGGGTCTAGCAGCCCAGTCCTGACTGAGATCTTTCCTGCGGACAGGCACTACGGCCAAACTCTCTGTGACATGTGATCTTGCAGATCAAAAGGGAGAGGGAAGGCGATGGTCTACGGGTATTTGCTGGAACGGCGTGTCGGTGCACGTCGACAAGCCCCCATTGTAATTTAGGGGTTCTTACTATCATTATCAACTAGGCGGCGAGAAGAAACGCCAATAGTATCCATCGAGACTTAAAGGGCGGCTAGCCACTCGACCAAAGGTTGAAAGTTACAAGGCAACAAGGACAATATCCGGTCCAGGGCTCAGTCTCGGATCCACCATAAATGAAGGCGCAGGGAGGGTGGGCTGCCACCCAGGAGGTGTGGGTGTTTGATTCTCGAATTGGATTTTGGTTACTCACGTGCAAGGGCCGTTTATTAGCGTGTTTGTCTTTTGTGGGATCTCTCCCGTGGTTGTGTGATGCGGTGTGTTCATGTTGCCACCTTTAATGAGAAGTACTCAATCTCGTAACACTTTCAATGGACCTTTCTTAGCATCTGTCAGTATCTTCATAATCTACGCGATTCTTCCAGTAGCAGCACTCAATCCCGGGATATTTGAGCTTGTGAACTATCTCGCGAACGATTGGTTAAGCCGGGTACAAGGCGTCCAGTGGCAACCAGGGTTATCGGGCCATGAACAAAAAGCCTCCCTGTCAGCCTGGCAAGAAGGTGGCGTTTCAATTCAGCGTTACGTTGTGGCGCGGACCGACTGTGTCTCAGCCTGGTGCCCAACTGCACTGTTAGCGTTATCGCCAACCGCCCGCGGGGCTCATGGTGGGCCTACATGATCCTCCGTCCCTCAACCCGGGTTATTTCTTCCTCTTATATCACCCGCCTGTGTGTCTTCAAGGTACATTTAATCACTCTCTGTCTCGTCCATCTTTCACACCTCCAATCCAACGCGCAATGTCGGACGAATCGGGGGAGACGGCGCCGCTCCTCAACGGTCAAACCCCGACCATTACCACGTCCACAAAACCACCGACGTCCTCATATCTTTCTTCGATTACAAGCGCTCCGAGTCTCGATTACAAGAATGTCCCCCTGAGGAGTCTTGCCTATATCTGGCACATCACAAAGATCACCTTGTTGAGTGGTACGTTTTGCCCTGGCCTATCTACCCCAGGAGCTCTCATCAGCTCTATGCCGATGCCGGCCCTCCAAGAACACAGCTAAACTTATCCTCCCACCACATAGACTATATCAATTTCCTCCTCATCATGGTGCCTCTCGGCATCACGGCCGGCAAGCTAGGTTGGAGCCCAACTACCGTCTTCGCTCTCAACTTCGTCGCCATCATCCCTCTTGCCGCCGTCCTGTCGTTTGCGACTGAAGAAATCTCCATCGAGCTAGGCGAAACTTTGGGTGGACTACTCAACGCTACATTTGGCAATGCCGTCGAATTAATTGTGCGCCTACAATCTATCCTTAGTGTGAATTTGGAAAATAGGACGCTGACTGTTGAATAGGTCAGCATTGTTGCGTTGAAGGATAACCAGATTGAAATCGTCCAGGCGTCCATGCTGGGATCTATCCTCTCCAACCTGCTCTTAGTTATGGGGATGTGCTTCCTCCTCGGTGGTATTCTTCACCGTGGCGAGTCTGGCAATGGCACGGAGCAAATCTTCTCTTCCGCCACTGCTCAGACCACTTGCTCGATGATGACTCTATCCTCAGCTTCGCTTATGATCCCCGCTGCTGTACGCCATTTTAATATCCATTCCCAATCTTGGGGGGCTAGGACTAACTTCCCCTTTAGCTGTACATTGTTCTTGACCAGAGTGGCTCAGAGGACAAACTGAATAGCGTCCTCATCCTCTCCCGCGGAACCGTCATTATCCTGCTCCTGATCTATGTCCTGTACCTCGTTTTCCAGCTGCGCACCCATAGCAACTTGTTCGATGCCGAGAATCAGGATGTTGGAGAGGAGCACAAGCCCGAGGAGCCGGTGATGGGCCCCGTTGCTGCCGGAGCCGTCCTCGTCGTCACTACCCTCCTTGTCGCCATTTGCGCTGATTACCTCGTTGGAAGCATCGACTCGTCGGTTGAGACCACTGGCATCAGCAAGGCTTTCATCGGTCTGATTCTGATTCCCATTGTCGGCAACGCCGCTGAGCATGTCACTGCCGTCGTGGTTGCGGCCCGAAACAAGATGGACTTGGCCATGAGTGTTGCCATTGGCTCGAGTATCCAAATTGCTCTACTAGTTACTCCTTTCCTTGTTATTGTCAGTTGGATCTATGGCTATGACATGTCTCTCCACTTCGAGACCTGTAAGTTTACATTGCGTTTTTACATAGCCCACGATGTTAACATGTTTTATAGTCCAAACCGTCGCCTTCGCCGTTTCGGTTCTCGTTGTCAGCTACACTGTTCAGGATGGCAGGTCCAACTACCTCGAGGGCGCCATGCTCCTCGGGCTCTATTTCATCATCGCCCTAGCCTTTTACGCCACTCCCAGCGATGTGGATAGCACTCCCGTCGCTTTGGTCGCCTTTACTGTCACGACTTCCCTTTAACCAGTCTCTCGGCTTTCTCGGGGCCCACGGATATAATGCGTTCAAGTGCCTATGCTGCACACTCGACCCGCGGTTCTGGTACAGGAGGGTGCCCGCCATCCCCTATTAGTACGGATGGATGGATGGATTTTATTTCGCCCGGAGGGAAGTCCCTATAGGGCCTTGACACAATCTAGTTCACATTTCAGTACATTTGATACCTGACACCCCAAGCCCCACGGATCGTCGTCTCATCGCTTGCTGCTCAACCTCGTCGCTACTTGTTCCAACGGAGGCCGATAGGGGGCACTGTTGCAAAACTCCCAGCCCATTTTATGCAGCCAATCATCGTCCTGTTCAAATGTAGGTGTCCCCACACCTGACTTATGCAGATACCTGGGCATAAGTAACTAGACTTGAGTTGCGGACCAGCTGCGGGTCAGCGAGATGCTCCGACGTCCCCCTAATCAACGCACACGGTCTAGGGTACCCAACTTTTCCAAGAGATCCTAAGTGAACCGATCCTAAAATAAATGTGTTTAAAAGCCAAAGATAGCAATAGTGCCTGAGGACATGTACTTGCCCGCAGCCCTCGCAATAGTCCAGTCTGAGGCATTCAGACGGACTGATTAACTGAGCGCTGCTTGCCTATTTCAACCTTCAAGCGAGGCTGGATTTGAGAATGCATATATATAAGTGCACGGAGACTAGAAAACCGCATTCATCTATGAATCAAAGATTAAAGCCCAAACCTGTAGAGCACAGATCTAAAAGATTTATTATAGCATTATCAGTTTCTCATGAGAAGGATTCTCACTGCAGGTGTATATATGATCCGCGTCTGAGCAGAATTACAAAGCCCGCAGTAGCTGATTCGCTGCTGATAAGCAGCGGACTAGCGCGGCAATCCCATACTCAAGCTAGCCTAGTGCTCATCATCCGTCGTAGCAATGGGCAACATTATGATGTTTTGTAAACATTAGAAATCCCTCTCAATTTCAATCCAAATCTTTCCCCTGTTTCATTTCTTCCAGCTTCAGGGTCTCTCTTCCAGCAGAATGGCCGACCCGGACATTCCCCCTGAGCATGTCTACTGCGTCAAAGCTGGGAAGAAGCACTATGATCTCTTCACCACTATCTACGCTGGGGAAAACTATTGTGGCTGTTGTGGCTTATCCAACCCCTTTCAATCCCAACGTCGGGCCAGGTCCAGAACCCCAGCCCTTCCTGGCCCATATGATGAGGTGGTTGAGGTGGAAGATTCTCCGCCACACCCAGTCAGTCCAGCAAGTCAGCTTATGCGTGACAGACCCAAACTAGTATCGTCTTCTGGCATTGGGTACGCGCAACTGATCCCAGACGCAGTGTCCGTCCCCAATGGAAAGACTACGAGTACACGGGCACGCCTGTATCCCTCCAAGCCATCAAGCGGTACTCCCTATCCGCAATTCATGGCGATCGCATCAGCGGCTAGTCAGGCCATTCAGAACACTAAAAGCAGCAACAGAAAGCCTACGAGGCAGCGCACTGGCTACCAATGGGTCCACATCAGTCTTCTGCTCGTGAGCTTGGAGACCAGGTACTTCAACGGCCTTGCGATAGAGATCCCAGAGACGGTGCTACCTCTAAAGGATACGGTGATCAAGTTTAGCTCGGCGGATCTCCTTACCTGGCCTTCATTCACTCAGATCTTATTTGACCACCTTCGTCCACTCCCAAGCACCATCGATCCAACCAACAAAGAGCTTTGGAGTCTTTCTTACGCTTCGTCCTTTTCTGGCAAGAAAATCGTCACCGTTCCCAACATTGATAAGTACATAACGCCGTCGAGCATGCTCGCTTCTGGACACTTTTCGAACAACCAAGCAGGGCAGTTAAAGGTGCTTGTCGTCCTGACATCGGCCGACGTGGTTGACAAGCAGGAGCCAATCACCCCGCTAAGGCCAGACGAATACTCAACACCTGTCAGAAAAGACAAGAAACGGAAGGTCAAACGGGAAGAATCGAGCCCAGCTCCCGAGCTAAAGAAGCGCATCAAGCAAGAGACACAGGTCAAGAAAGAGAAGGGTGCGAAAAATGAGAGACGAATCAAGCAGGAAAACACAGTTCCAGCTTCCTCCTACCCGAATCCGGCGTTTGATGAGGGTAGCAAAATCGTCGACAATATCGTTGTGAAGGGGGATACAACAGATCTGAGCGATTTTGAGGATCCCGTCGACGGTCCAGTATTTGACAGTGCCTCCGACGAGGAAGGAGATGAGCGTGAGGCAGGCAAAGAGTACGAGATCGATTGTGGCAACGAGGCAAGCTTTTTAACAGAGTTCGTAAGAAACCCGGCCAAAATTTCACCCAGCGAAATACTGATCTCAGCAGATAAACCCGGAGTCGGCAGTCATCCCGGAATCTATCGAACGAGCTCGAACACAACAATTTGAGGATAATGCTGTCGAAGGATCCCCCCCAGCCCACTCTACACGTTTTAGAGGCACAAAGATCCCCATGACCTTTGCCTCTCGACCTAGAAAAAGGAAAGATTGACTATTCGGGCTCCCCATCAGACGTGCCCTCCTCCTCCTCGTCATTACTTATTCCCTCAATGTCATTTCCATCTTCATCTTCAACACCAAGTTCAATAAGCGGCTGTTCTGCCGGTTCCATATCTCCAAGTTCGTCTTGCTGGGCTTGATTTGCTCGTGCAAGTAATGCTTCCTATATATAGTTAGATATTTTAATGCGCAGACAGATATAGCATCTTACATATTCGGCAACTCCTCCAGTTGGGGCTCTACGGTAGGCTAGCAGAGGCTGTTGACCACTTTCGATGTGCCGAATGATCCTGTCTCGAAGGCCAAGGTAGAAGCGCTTAAATGGGCGCAACTTATCAGGCTCCTGGTAATTGCCAAGAACCACTTTATTGTAACCCATTTCCCTAAGAACTTCGCGGCACCAGTCCTTCGTCTCCGGTTCAAGACATGTACTGATATCGATGTTAGCCAATGGCCGTACCAATTCACCTAGAACTGTGCGATCGATGGAGATTCCCCAATTGCAAGCCTTGCTTGGGTCAGGGTAATGGTAATTCATCCAGGGTTGGCCGTGGACAACATGGGGCCGGTTCTTCTGGAGGCGTATTTTGTGTAGATTCCACGCCTCCACGAAATCGAAGAGCTCTTGACGCAGTACATCTTCGAAGACAGCGTAGAGAGCAATCTGGTCCTCAAGCATATCGCCGTCAAAGTCCCCATCCCTAGCAAGCTCTCCAAAGTAGTCTACCCACTGCCGGGAAGAGACGTGAAGCATACGCTCCCACCAACTCTCAATCCTGACGTTCTTCGTGCTCGGTGCTGCCTTGTAGGAATCCTTCAATCGCTTGCCCTGTTGGAAGACCTGGCCATTCCATTCCACGCATCCGCCAGCGGCCAAAGCGAAGTTCCAATGGGCTGCCGCGACCAAGGGCGTTTCGCTACCCCTATCTGCCTGCAGATACCACGGGCGGAAGCCGTAGGCGTCGCACGCAGCCAGATACTGTTTCAGCACGCTCAAGGCGGTCGCAGCAGAAGGCCCGACATAGAACCAGATAATGTTGCGTGAGTAGGCATCGATCGCAGCGTATATCTGGAAGCCATACGCCTTCAGCTTGTCGTGGCCGTCAATACACCACTGGTAGTTTGGTCCGGGGACTAGAAACTGTCCCTTCTTCCTGCGCATCATCCGTTTGCGCATCTCAACCTCGCTCGGGAACATGATTTTATACATCTCAAAGAGGGGATCTCTTGGTACCCAGAGTTGCTGTTGCTGGCGCAGATAGGGCTGCAGAAAACGTCTTCCATATCCTGCAATGACATTAGACCGTTGCGTCATCTCAACAATAACCTGTTCCGTCTTCTTCAGCAAAGCAAGCCGTTCTTCATCGCTATTGATACGACGTATCCAGCGGCGGTCCGGGTGGAGTCTGATACGTTTGAGTCCTCTTTTGGTGATGGGCCAGCCTTGCCTCTGCAAGACACTCAAGGTCTGCCTCTCGCTAAGCCCAATGCGGAGGATCAGGTCGCGGATAGCCTCTATAAGCTCTGGTGTCTCAATGGTGCGTGATTGCTGACGTGGAAGTTCCCAGCTGGCTATCCGACGGGAGATTGTGCTGAGGTTAACAGCGATATGGTAATGCTTCCGAAGCTTATACTGGATCTGGTTTCGCGAGACGCCATTGAGGTACAGCAAACTGACATAGTCGCGGTGCTCATCGATTGGATTGGGTGGTCGTGCCATAGCATTGGAGATGAGGATGAAGACAGGGACGATAATGTGGTGTTGGGGCAAGGAATAGGGGGGGTTTAAGGGATTTCCCGGTGATCTGCCGGATCTGGTGATTCGCCGGACTTACACCTACTTGCATTCCAGACATCAATCTATAATAGCTCCACAGCCGCAGTCCCAAATCTTCCAAAATTAAACACATAATGAAAATGCAACTATAAGATATGTCTCAGTCTATTTCGCAGTCATCAAGCCATCGTGGTCGCTTGCTATTCCGCTGCGGCCGCCCGGTACCCCGAAATGCGACTACCATCTCCCGATCACTCTCAACAGCTAGACAGGGTCTTTTCGGACGAGCGGTACGGATTGGAGTGGTCGCTGCCTTCCCTTTTCGGTTGTCTTTTGGTAGATCTAGGGCCTGTGATGCTACCGGCGGCTCTGGTATGAGTGGAAGAGCGACGATTATCTCGTCTCGAACGTCCGGACTCTTCTCGCGGCCTTCAGAAGCCACCCGTCGTTCATGTTGCATTTCATGTGCCATTTCCAGATTGCGACGCTTAAGTTCTTGTCGAATCTGTCGATTGGTCTCCTTCTCTTGCTGCCTGGCCTCCCTTACCTGCCGTTTTCTCTCTATTTCCGCCTCTCGTTGCCTCCTCTTCTCCAGAGCGAGAGCTTTTTGCTCCGCCGCCTTCTGCTGTCGCTGAGCCTTTTGCGATTCCTTCTGCAGAACCTCCTCTTTCTTTTGGGCGTCCATCGCCGCTTTCTTTAGGCGGGCTTGAGCGACTTTTGCTGGGCTAAACACCTGAGCTGAATTTGGATCTGTACGATCAAAGAGCAGATCTTTCAGAGCTTTACCGCGCTGTCTGCGCTTCTTTTCTTGGCTAATTGTCTCGCGGAGTCCTTGATTCTCATATCGAAGCAGTTCAACCTCAGATTGCAGGCTTTCGAGGGTGTTCTTCAGCTTTCGGCTGTTGCGGTCAGCATCGATAGAGGATTTGTCGACTACTTTGTCAATAAGTCGGCGTAAATCTCGGGCCGTAGGTTGCTGAAGGGCTAGTGATTCTGCCGAGTCGCTACCCGTATTCGAATCATCATCTTTTTTCTCAGTGATCTGCGATAGGACCACTTCTGGGTCAAAAGGCAGGAGACCAGTCCGTTTCCACCCACTCGCAATGTTCTCGGAAGAGAAGGAAGTCTCAAATGCGTTCCAAAATAAAGTCCAGAACTCACGTTTCGATAGGCCAATAAGGCCTTGTGTTTTTGCTGTCCACTGGATAAGCTGATTTGAGTATGCGGTCGAAAGGGGGCTGAATAGCGACACGTCCAAGGGTTGCAGCCGATGCGTGGAATGGGGGGGAAACACCGCAACGATAATCCGGTGCTGGTCACACCACTCCAGAAAGTCCATATTAACATGGCTAGAGTGGCCGTCGGTAATGAGAAGGCGATAATCACGACCGTTTCGAGCTTTTGCCTTAGTAAAGCGATCGAAAACACCGACGAGCCACTCTTTTCCAAGCTCGTGATTTGTCCACCCCGTTTCTGAGGTGGTAAAGAAGGCTGATTGATGTTCTGGGTCAAATTCATTGAGCCAAGAGTCCTGGACTTGTCCTGGTTTGCCTTGATAGATGAGGAATGGGGGCAGCGATGTCATGTCCTGGCTGATGCACGCCAGGAACGTAATCCAAGATCGATTACCATCTTGCGACGCACCGAGCAATTTGCCTTGCTTTTTGACGTTAATGGAAAATACTCTCTTCGTTCGATTGATCACACCCAAGAGAAATCCTTTCTCATCCGCGTTATACGTGTTGCAGGGTAGGATGTTGTATTTCTCGATTTTTGTGCGGATCTTCCACTGTCAGTTGTGAAAGGGAAGCTTCGTGCATTGGCTTACAAGCTCAAAATAAGCCCTATACCTAGAGGCATTATCGGCTCTCTTTCGCGCGATGTCCAACCCGTCGAACCATGTACAACCTAACTCATCACGATTGCGTCGAACGAAGCTGTACGGCCAGTCCTTTCCGACCTCGATTTTGGCGATATCCTGGGCGAAGTTCTTTATCATAGGTAAGGTAGGGGGAATGCCACGCGATGAAAGCTTATGAATATAAGCGATAAGATCCCGTTCTTGTTGTTTTGACAGACGTGACTTATACAAACTGTCGGCATCTCGTCTTGACCGCTGTTTGCCTTGATGTCGGCGTCGCAAGGTCGTCTCGTCGCAATTGAAACGCCGTGCAGTCTCAGCATAATTAACTGATTCCGACGATTTCAGGAAATCAAGGGCCTCATCAATCGGCGCCATGGTTGTTGAGTAATTGTCGATTGATGTTGAGTGTGCGAAGTGGCGGTGATCCGGCGGATCACCAGATCCGGCAGATCACCGGGAAATCCCTTAGAGGGCGGAACCCCTATTTGAGCAAACGCGATTGACCTACGGCACTGCCCCGCAGCGGCTCTGTGGCTGGCCCGGTGCGAACTAGCACCTCCAGTGGAGTTGTGGAAAATACCCATTAGGAATAGCTTGGACGCGACCCGATTCAGGGAGGCCCCAAGTGAGTGACCTTTTGATAAATGATCTTTCTTTGCCATTCTAATTTATCACCGTGTCCAAGTAAGTTGACGGCGCCTCCCCTGATCGTTTCCGTGGCGCTATCAATCAACATCATTATCATAATGTCCACTGCCGATCCAGTCGCTGCGGGCGTGGATGGCGTGGGCGCGGTGGGTAGGGTCCGACCCAATAGCAACGACAAAAACACCCGGCCCGGCGCCCGTAAATCCGCGAACAAGGTTACTGTATGATCCGGCCAGCTACTCTACAATCAATAGACCACTACTAATACACCTATTTGAGCAGAAGAAGACGCAGAAGAAGAAGGCCCCTCCCATCGGCGAGGCGCGTGACTTCCCCTGCCGCCCCTGTGTTACTCGCGCTGCAAAGAGCCCCGGGCATGAGTGTACCTCTCAGAACAGTAAGTAGCCATTCTTTCATATAAGCTTGCCGAGCTGACATACGGGGGATAGATACTGGTGCTGCTTGCTGGGACTGCGCAAGGAACGGCCATACCTGCAGGCCTGTGGGTAGCCTTTACGTGTTTCCGGCTAATGAGTTGCTAATCAGCTGCTGTGTAGGTCCCCACCGGCGCTGTCGCTGCGGTGCGTGCCTTCTGGGAATTGAATCGGCAGATCGACGATGCAAATAAAGATCCAGGCGATGGCTGGCGCTCTGCTGCTCAGCGTGCAGCACAGCAGCTGCGTGGTTGCGGTGCCGCTATCAACCATAGCCCTGCTGCCGCTCAAGCTTGCGCTCCTGCTTTGGCTCCCCGCGGTGAAGCAGGTGAAATGACGCTTGAGGAGCGAAAGGTTGCGGCGCTGGAGGTCATCGCTGAGGCTGCTCGGCTCTGGACTGTAAGTGGGTTAACCTGTAATAACATTTCAGTGGCTAAATCCATGCGTAGCAGTTCAACAAGCCGGACGAGGAAGACAGCATTGAAGAGGAGGAAGACAATTGAGCGTTAATATTGTCAATAAAGGAGGCGGTTAGCCCTTTTGTAGAGGGACTTTGTCCGAGATAAGGGATGATGCTATTCCGTGCTGGTTCGCTGCGGTCTCGCTGCTCTTGCTGCCGTTGTCTACTATGTCTAAATTCAATGAGGTTGTGCGTAAAAGTACATAGCTCAATGTACTGTGGGGCAGATGTTTATTTATGCAGACCCACTTCACTTGTTTTGAACGTGCTTTTTGGGGTTTTGCAACAGTGACCCCTATACAGAGTAGGCTGCCGTTTATTAGAACGAACTTGACTGCCCCGCTTACGCATAACATCTGCGGGGTCGACTTGCCTCGGTCCCCAGCCCTAGAGTCAACCTACCCTAGAGCCAACATTTCCCCCTCATCCAATGGGGGTTTTTTTTTAAACTCTCTCCTGTAAAAATCTTTTCTTGGCAGCCACTGTTAGTGCGTTGCTAAGGTGCGGGGTTTGCACTGGCCACTTTTACTTGCAGCAGCCTTTAGCGCCCATCTGGGCACTAACAGGCACACAATCTGAGGAATCAAGCTATCGAGGGCTTCAGGACTCGCGAGATGTAACCTGATCAATGGCAGCTAGCTATAGCGGTTTTTCTCCCCTCGTGCTTTTCCAGCTATTGCGATCTACATGTATGACTCCTTGGTTACTAGGGGATCGGAAGGCCAGACGACCAACCCTTCGGCAAATAAGAAGGTTCTTCTGGGTCTCTGGCTGGTATGCGGATGCAGAGGAACTCCGGCTGGTTTTATCTGAATTGCGGTACTGTTGCGGGCATGTGGTATAGCCAGCGCAGAGGGATGCCGCCGCCTCTAGCCCCCGCTGACGGGGGCCGGGCTCGAACTATCACAGGCCTTGAGCCGCTGAATTGCTAGATAGCTGCACACTCTATTAGTGACGCAATAACCGAGTTGAAGGCGTATCTAGCACGCCTTAAGGCTAGGCGTAACCCTTCCGACACAAATGAATCCAAACGCACAACACCAACACCGACAACATGATCGATGCAGAGAACCACAGTCCAAGTAATCCCCGCAGTCCTCTCTTGGAGCCTCACTGCCCCCGACTCGAAATCTGCCAAAGTCCAATACTAGAGGCTACCGCTGAAGAAGTTAACCCTGGTGTTTTAGGGCTATTTAGCCTTGTTAACAGCTTGGACGGTGGATGCAACCCGGACATCGCAAGAGAAGCGACTCAAGTGACTTTGCCCCCCTTTGAAGACGCCACCGCGCTGGCCACAGGCATCCACGATGGTCTTCAGGTACTTGCTGCAGCTGCAGGAGTGGTTTACGACAGAAGACCAGCAAACGGACTCATTCCCGCTCCCTCTGCCGGCCCCAATTCCATCCCCGTCGATGATGCTCACGATAGTAGAGCCTTCGAATTCAGCCATAGACCCAACTCCCCTCAACTAAACTCCCTTCGACAAATGGCGATCGGAAACTACCTGCTACGGCCGAATCTCCACGACCTGATTCCTCCGATTCCACGCCGGCCGTGTCGGTCTCTCAAGATGCTGAGCTAGCTCTTGATCTTCATGCGATTGCTGCAGCTGCGATACGAGCAACGGCGCGAAAACAGCACCAAGAAGAGTCATTTGCTAGTTCTACACCCGTTCCCGTCTTCGCCAACGATACCCACAATAATTCAATGCCACGAACTGCCGATACCATCCCTCGATTCAGTTCTCTTCTAACTCAGCCTTCAACCCCAACGGAAAATCACCAGAGTCCACCTGCTAGAGCCAAACCCCACCAAATTGATCCTCTCGCTTCCACGCCAACCGCGCCAGCCTCTGGCGTTGATCACACGAGTAACATCACCCGCCCCGTTACTGGCGCCTACGTTTGTAACTTCACTGGTTGCACAGCTCCGGCCTTTCAAACGCAATACCTCCTCAATTCCCATGCCAATGTGCATTCATCTGCCCGTCCACATTACTGCCCTGTCCAAGGTTGCCAGCGGACCGAGGGTGGCAAGGGCTTCAAGCGCAAAAACGAAATGATCAGACATGGCGTCGTTCATGATTCACCAGGATACGTCTGCCCCTTCTGCACAGATACGGAACACAAATACCCACGCCCAGACAATCTCCAAAGGTAAGCAGCAATCTAGATCTCTTATAGCTAACACCAGCAACTGTTGACGAGCTGACACGATATTTTCTAGGCATGTTCGCGTGTATCATGTCGACAAGGATAAAGACGACCCAGAACTGCGAAAGGTGCTTGAAAAGATGCCGGAGGGGTTTCAACCGGATCGAAAGCAACGTCGAACATAAGCTCATCAATGACCTATCACCGAAGATTCCAGAAGCAAGGATGAAAAACCGTCCATACCATTAGATCAAAGCCAGTATGCCAGTTCACATGCCGTTTTCGACAATATATATAGATATATATATATATATATCTATAGTCGAGCGAATAGACATCTGCATCCACGTAGAGGGATTGCGAACCGAAACAAGAACTACTGAACCACACTGTAGACCCTTCCTGACAGAGCAGAGTGCAAGAGCCTTTATTCTTCAGTAATAATGAGATTTAGAAGAACACCGATGTTGTCCAAGTTCGTCTCCTCCTTCCCTTTCAGCCATATTACCGAGGCATTGGGTAATGAAGAAAGATGCTTGTGGAGGACGGAGTTGCGTCAGGCTGCATCCGTATTCCCTCCAATGCAGTAACGCGGATTGTTGGATGATGTAGGTGACCGCTAGTACTAAAACCTTGCGTCCCAGATGAAATGAACCAGGGGAAGGCGGCGTAATTGCTGTGTTGTGTCATGGCGGACGCAGATGTGTGACAGAGTCGCACCAGAGCTCGCCTGCTACCCTAAACACAAAGTAATTGTGGACCAAACCACTGAAGCGATTGTGCTAGAAGATGGAGCTGACAAGTCCTGGTGACTACAAACATTGGTCCTCATAACACTTATTCAGTCTTCCCTGAGAATATCTGACTGTCAATATCCTCCTTGTACATTTTGGCGTACTGCGTACTGGTGATCGGTGGGGACATCCATCCCAACCAGGGATGGACATCGAACGAACGGGAATCGAATCGATAGATTCATTCGATGCCAAGTCTTACGAATGTCGAATCGAATTTCTTGGCATTCGATTCGATGTCGAATCTGCGGCGTGCCCATTCGATTCGCATCGAATCGAATGTGACATGTCCTGTTCGATGTTCGAATACATCGATTCGAATGTGGGGCATCCTATTCGACATTCGAACCGTACAGGTCACCATATGATTCGACATCGAATCGATCGCCCCCACCCGTTCGATCGAAAATCGATCGATTCGGTCGAACAGAGAGACGCGATGTGCGAATCATGACCAAGGGGTGGATTCAGCGCGATTCGCAGACGCGTTAAGAGGCCCCTGGCACTCTCCTCGACGCGAGAAGTGCAACGCGATCAACACTGACAACAATTCATCTTAATGCTAAGATGTGTTAGCAAGTACATAACATGACCCTAAAAGCCCATAGCATACTAGGTACCCTGCAACTACAGCAATCATCCCTGTCACGACCCTGTCTAACCGCCCCCCAGCCCGGAACGGATTAACGCGCCGGCCACCGCGAATTGCCAACAGGTTTACCAGTTGGGAATGACTCCCATGGTCACAATCCCGACAAACAACCCACCAGCAGGTGCTTTACAGGAATGTAACGGACAACCCAATTTAATCTTGTAATAAAACACTGAGTCGGTTTCTATGAGGAATATATATTTGTCGCGTGGGGGGTTGAAGTATGAGTTATTGTTGCTGTAAAATACAACCTCCCAAGTTAGGAGGTACCAAGGTCGTCATATAAAGTAGGTGGGGCTTACAGTAGTTTTTAACGCAGGAGTATAGGGTATGTTTGTCCCAGTAACAGGCCGCTATACAGAGAGGGGGATCACCAAAAACACGCCGCTTTTTCTGCAGAATAATAGGAAGGAAGCAAAAAGAAAAGAAAAGGAAACCAAAAAAAAACTGTCTCCGTATTTCTCTCTACTAAAAAGTTTTTACTGATGCCAGCTTTGGCATGATCAGATGAATATGTCCGGCTCGAAGTTTTCACGCATTGGCGAGTATGGGATTCATGATCTTCCTGCCCCCCTCTTTAACTTTTTGGTTGTCTCGGGGACCTGCGCCTAAAGCCAGCTTTGCCTGTGAACCGATGTACCAGCGACTTCACAGGTGCATCCACTTAGAGCCTCAACTTCAAGTCCCCACCGTTCCGCCCCCTCACGTGAACGGTTTACGAAAATCTCAAGAATCCATTCTGAGTTGACGCCAGATTGGAATGAGCACAAATGCAAAGCCGGTATGGGGACTTGGCTGAGGAACGGGATGGCTTTTTTTCAAGGTTGGCCCGTAGTGATGCGTCTGTGCTTGTGGCATGAGCCAATAGGAGCCTCTGACGCAAGTGGAACAGGGAATATATGGAATCTTACCCCGCCGTCTGTGGACCTAATCAACGAGACCCCGATTTGGCTGGTTGCCAAGTACTGAGAGCTTGGTGGAGCGGCACTTGGGAGAATCTCCGTACACCAATGGTCGGAACAAAGTTTGGCTTCTTACATACAATGGCGGCTTCACGCGCGACTCTCTCGCCTTGGGCGCGCCAGGTCGTCGTTCGCGCTGCTCGCGAATGCATCATTAATCGCACAAGACTTTGCATGTTTAGCGGCAGTGGAGATGTCGCGAATTTCGCGTTGACGACAAAATGGGCGTGATATACGCGTGTTATTGGCCTCAATGCCTGTCCAGTCAGTGATGGATGGATGGATTTAAGTTGAGCCTCAGTGCAGTCTCAATGGCTTCCAACAACCTCGACCCACGCGACCCATCTGTCCGACTAGCTAAACTAACTGCATCATGATGTCCTCCGAACCATTCTCTTTGAGCCCTTCGTCCTGGAATCAACCAGGTGTGATGGAGCGCGATGAATTCTCTTCTTCGCCAGCCGCCCCGTCTCCAGGAACCTCGTTACCAACGACGCCATCGCTCCGTCCTCGCGGGACTGCCGCCGATTTTATTCAGGTCGATTGGACACTCTGGGGCCGCCAAGAGTGGGCCAAATGGCCCGGATTCGAGCTTTATACTGGCGGCCAAGACACGAGGGCATGGTGGCAACAATATGGGTATCGCGTTAAGGACCGTTCCACCTCGCGGCAGGGAAATAAGCTGAAGTGGATCTGCGCCGACTGCTTTGCCCGAGGTTTCAAGAAGAAGTCGGACTTCTGTTTCGTCTGCTCGACAGGAGTCGCCATCAGGAAACACCTACTCAAAGCCCACGGGATTCTTGTAAGTGTGTGCCTCTCATCTACGGTTTGATAACGTGCTGATTTGGCAGGCCCCGAACAAAGTTGCCAGCCCCGTGGGGGGCTCATTTCTAAATGACAGGACCATCACCGACTTCATCGATGCCGACTTCAATAATCCCCACGACCAGTTTCTTCTCAGCAAGCTGCGTGGAAGATTCAGCAGCAAAGGCCTCCGAGTACTCCTCCTCGACTGGATTACCTACCATAACCTGCCGTTCAACATTGTCAATACCGAGCGGTTCCAGCGGATCCTTCTCTACGGCAATCCCCTCCTTGATGTGACCCACATTCCCTCTGCGAAGACGCTGCTTCGCATGCTCGAATCCGAGTATAGGGGTGCCGTTGGGCCGGTAACCGAAGTATTGCGCAGCGCTCGATCCCAGATTCATTTCTCCTTCGACGGTTGGACATCCAAGTCGTACACTTCGTTTCTTGGGATCAACGCTCAATTCATTGATAACCACTTTGTCCAACACCGAATCCTCCTTGGGCTTCGACCTCTCTCGGGCAGACACAACGGTGCTTCACTTGCCGATGAGGTCGCTGATACGCTCGCATTCTGGCAAATCAACAACCCGGACAAGGTTGGCTACTTCACGCTGGACAATGCTGCCAACAATGACACCTGCATGGACGATCTTGCCTTTGAACACGGCTTCTCAGCTGAAGAGCGACGGATCCGCTGCGCTGCGCATATCTTCAACCTTTGCGTGCGGGCAATGCTATACGGTTCGAAGCGAGAGAACTTCGCGGCAATCATCGCTGCCGATGGTGACGATCAAGATGACGATGAGGAGCTAGTTGATCAAGCTATCGACGAGGCCCTGGATGTAGAAATGGAAGACGGCACGGATGAAGACTTTGAAGCGAACACTGCCGTTGGTATCCCAGAAGAGGACTTCCTATCATCCCACCCAGCCCCGGAGGAGATCAATGGAGCCACTTTCAGGGAGTACAGCCAGAACGGCGCCCCAGGAATGCTTCACAACATCGGGATTCAGCTGCGAGCGACTACACAGCTGTACGAGCAGTTTCTTCAGTCTCAGCGCAAGGAATCCGGCCATGAATCAACACTTCACTGGGTCTTCAACAATGCCACCAGATGGAACTCGGATATGCGGATGATGGAGAGGGCCCTTCGTCTCCGCCCGGCTCTCAATACGTTCTTCAATGACGTTCAGAACCGTTGGGAAACTGAGGGTCTTTGTGACAAACCGAAACCGGCAGTTCTGCAATACCGCTTAAGTGCGTACGACTGGAAGGTTATCGAGGTGCTTGTCAAGCTTCTGAAGCCTTTTGAAATCGCCACCAAGCAACTTCAGGGCGACGGTATTCCCGACGCGAGGTCGACTTGCGGTAGTTTCGATGAATACTTCCCTGTCTTCGAGATCCTACTTGACCACCTCGAAGGAGCTATCGAAGGCACAATCTTTGAAGAAGTTGAGGATCCAGTGAGCAAGGAGAAGAAGGACGTCGAAGTCGCCATCTACGACGGGCTCGATAGCAGAACCCGTAGATTGCTCAAGGTCTTTATCAAGCTCGGATGGAAGAAGCTGCACAAGTACTACAACTGTCTGACTAGCGCAGCTTATGTCGGCGCTGTTGTCTTCAACCCGGCGAAGAAGTGGCGCCTTCTCGATCAACTGTGGTCTCGAGTGCCTTCTCGTAAGGCCAAGGGTTGGCGATTAGAGTACGAATCCCAGCTCTTGGAGATCTGGGAGAGTTACAGGGAACGCGAAGTTGACTACGAAGTCTTCGCTACATCTGACGAGGCCTCAATGGATTACATTGAGCGGAGACTTGCCAGGAGTGTAGCTGGGTCGCCATGCGCCCAGGGTTCGTCCTTGGCAGTGTCCAGTGCCCGCAAGAGCACCCGAAAGACGAAACACACGACAGCAGGAGCGACTGCTGATGACGAATATGCTCGGTACTGTGCTGAGGATGTTGTCAACAGTCACCACTACAGAAGCAGGCCGATTGACTGGTGGAAAATCAACAGGAATCGGTACCCGCGACTGTCTCTGATGGCGGTTGATATGCTCACCATCCCATCGTCGTCTGCGGAGAGCGAGAGGACATTTAGCAGTGCAGGACGTATGACGGCACCGTTGAGAAGTCGGCTGAGGAGGGAGATAGTGGCGATGGCTCAGTGCATTCGATCATGGAGTAAAGCTGGGATCTACACGCCTTCACTGCCGCTGGTTAGCCTCAGTGATGATCAATGGGTTGACGCACTTGCGTCGCTGAGGGGGACGAGTGACATTTAATCTGCCTAGTACCTGCCTTTGCACAATTGACGATGTTCTGCGATGTCTTATCTGAAGCCGTGATACCTTCTAAACCCGCTCTGCACCTCTCACCACTCTTCTGTCGGGGTATGACGGCATGACGGCCTGGTGATGATGACGACGGTCCATTTGGTTCTAGGTCCTATTGGTGTTTCGGTCTCCGCCGGGATTAGTTCTACGTTCGATCGAGTTCGAATCGAATTCGATCGAATCTTGGCATTCGATAGATATCGAATCTACGGAAGACATGTTCGATTCGAGTCGAATCTACGGCACAAGAATTGTGGCGCGTTCGATTCGATACGAATCTGCGGGAGATGTGTTCGATTCGAGTCGAATCTACAGGACAAGAATTGTGGCACGTTCGATTCGAACGCCAAGGCTTGGCGTTCGATTCGATAGATTCGTAAGATGTCCATCCCTGTTACTAGCTACGGTTCTCCCACTCGCCGTTACCCCCATGTTTTCGAATTTGGGTATTGCTGGAGCATGTAGCCTTTTGGCTGGCCTCAGTGCACTGATGTCCGTGGTCCCTTTCATCTTCATTTGGAAGGGGGAGAAAATCCGGGCAAACTCAAAATTCTGCAACAGCTTGAAGAAGAATGCGACGCACTCGGAAGGACTAGGAAGCTGCCAACCAAAGAGCGCCAAGGTGTGATATGGAAATTAACTCATGAGAGCAAATTCAGAGTTGAGGTGGCAAAGACCAGGTATACATATCCAGATTAGGGTACCCATAGGTAAATGTTTTTAGTGTTAAATTGAAATGGGTAATACTGAGTGACAGAATAAAGAGAGAAAAATTAATAATGAATAACTATCCTGAAATATATTATTTATTTTAAAAAGTTAACATTATATTTTGAATTCTGCGTTATAATAAATATATCGTTAAAGTAGATAAAATAAATTTCTTTTATATATTTAAGTACCTGTAGGTAATTCTATATTTCGTATAGGGTAATTTTCTTATCTTTAGGTAGGAAGCTTATCCTTTGGGTACGCATGGTCTGGGTAATTTCCACCCTAATCCAGATCCCTTAGAACAAGAATACTTTGTATTATATTCATCAAGCTACCACGGCGGGCGATCATGATACATCTTTATACATTGGATATATCGTCATTATCACGTTTCTCTTTCACCTATACATATATGCGACTCTGTCATGCTTCGTTTTCTGTAGTCTTCTCGGTTGGGCCCTACCAGTAATCAGGGATTCAATCAAGTACGTACTACGTAGAAGAACACAACAAGTGGAATTCCATATTTGATTGGACATGTACCGAGTAACAGCAGCATTGAGAAATCAGCTGATATCTTGAGCTCGGGCTAGTTACGAAGATAAAAACGGCATGAAATCATGACGTGCCCGATTCCTCACCTCCGGTTCGTTCGGTGCGGCCGGTTCGGTGCCACCGAATCGGTCCAGCCGATGCTGAGTAAAACTGTCGCGACAATATGGCTTCATCTCTAGAAGATTCTCTGGATCGCAAATTTGTTCTCCTTAATTACAAGACATCCAGCGTCCGTATCTGAATGTTGAGTCGATCTGCATGATTGAGTGACAACGCTACGACGCCGTGGTACCGACAAAAAATACACTTCATCGTCGAGCTATCAAATGACGCAAATTTTGAGACAGGTCCGAGATGGCCAAGAAACCCATTCTGATCAATATTTGATCATAGAAAGAATTCGACAAGCCATTGACGGGAAAAATTCGCTGCTGTGGGACATTAACCAGAAGGTCAGCGTCCAGACCCAGTGTCGAACTGAAGCATCCTGACACATCACCTAGATCCACCAAAACCCAGAACTTGGTTATGAAGAGCACAAGGCTCATGACAACATCACCTCTATGCTTGAGTCATTGGGATTCAACGTCACTAGGCACGCGTTTGGTCTCCAAACCGCATTTATGGCGGAATACGGACAGGGAGGTCGTGTTGTAGCTTACAACGCTGAGTATGATGCTCTACCTGGCATTGGCCATGCGTGTGGACACAACCTCATCGCCATGATGTCCATTGGGGCGTTTCTTGGTGTCGCTGAGGTCCTGAAAGAGCACAGTATCCCTGGACGTGTGCGCCTCGTTGGAACGCCGGCCGAGGAGGGTATGGGTGGGAAGATCCCCATTATAGAGGCTGGCGCCTACCAAGACGTTGATGCCTGTATGATGGTCCACCCCGGGCCTGTGAGCGAATGCAAAGGCTTTACTGGAGATGCCTATATGCCGACGTTGGCAAATCACAAATTCAACATCCAGTTCAAGGGCCATACAGCGCATGCTGCCGTTGCACCATGGGAAGGCGTCAACGCACTAGATGCCGCTGTTCTGGCCTACAACGGCATCAGTGTACTGCGGCAACAGGTCCATCCAAGTAACAGGATTCACTGCATCATCTCTGAGGGTGGCCTCCGTCCAAATGTGATCCCCGGAGCTGCGTCGCTTGACTGCTATATCAGGTGCCAACCCTGAAGGGCGCAGATGAACTTCTAGCCAGGGTTAAAAGGTGCTTTGAGGGTGCAGCTCTACAATCTGGTTGCGAGATGGAGTTCACTATGTATGCCACTGTCGGGAAGTACTCCTCAATAAGCCCAGACAACTGACATGTCACAGGGTAAACACGTACGCAGACCTACGGTCAAACAAGGCCATTTGCAGCTTATATGCAGACGCAATGACCAAAGTGGGCTCTGAGGTGAAGTGTGATTTCAACTCGCCTGGTGTGCCAGGGTCAACTGATCAAGGTGAGCTTCCGATCTATACGTAGAGATTATTCTCCGAAAGAATCAATCACTCATGATATACCGATAGGTAATGTAACATATGAATGTCCCGGTATTCAAGCTTACGTCGGCGTTCAAGCCGAGAAAGGCTGCATCAATCATACCGCTGGATTCACTGCCATAGCTGGCACCGAGGAATCGCACAGGCTTTGTGTCGAAGCCGCAAAGGGCATGGCGATTGCTGGTTGGAGGATTATCGCAGACAGTGAGGTCGCAGCGATGGTTAGAGATGAATTTGAAGAAGATAAGAAAATTCGGTAGATGTTTGACAGGCTTAGTGTCAGGGACTGAATACACAATAGGGAGTGACGAGGGCAAACACGCTGCAAGGTAGCTAGAAGATAGTAGTGGGGTGGTGACTCTATTGATCTCTGACCTCCTTTGTTATCTGGAGGCCGATCCTAGCTATTTTTACCTATCCATCGGTTATCTTGGCGGGTGCTGTCACGGGCCAGGGCCCATATCCTTGCGGCTGTGCCGCAAGACGTACGAGGCTCGTGCGCGCCAGGGACGGGAAATCGTTCCACAGCTCAGGGGCATTTGGGAACTTCTTTCTTTCTTCTTCATCTTTGATGTAAATAGCATCCTGGACTAGATAGCTGGAATCCAGCTACTAGAGGCCGTTCACAGGTGCCTTCAAGGCTATCCTGGACGTAGCCGCAGCTATCCTGCTGCGAAAATGGAATACAGATTACTGACCCTGCCGAATCTGGCGTTCAGGGAAGCCCAGATCCAGCGTTTGCATTCTCCACCCGTAATTGCATTCCAGCACCTGACACTTAATAAGAATTTGGGCGTAAAATGTGTACGTCGCACGATATGTGTGCCTTGGCCACCGAGCAAAGTCTGCGACAGTAACCCAAGGCTACGGCATAGCGTCATAGGCTTGGATCGCAAGTGCTCCCTGCGTCTACATTTGTTTAGCTGGAAGGTCCAATGGTATTTTCTTCGCGCCAGATTCTGTGACTCCTGTCACGGGACAAGGCCGGTTGCGATGATACAGGCCAGTAGGAGAACTCCCCTAACACCACACCTAGGGGAACAGTTCCTGCTAGCAGATGCGGGAATTCTATGTGCCTAAGTAAACCCGGTATTCTGAACCTCCTGTCAGGGAGTGTGTGCTATTCGTGGTGAGTCCCAAAATCTTAATCAAAGCACTCAGATATTACGGATGGGAACACCCTTTAAGCCTCGTTAGTTCCCCGTGAGTTATGGCCAGCCCCTCCCTGAGACGTGGCGTCTTTTGGCTGGTGGTTTAGCATTTTTGTTTAAAACAAGATTAACAGAGACTCTCTTCTTAATATATGCATTATCCCTTCAAATGTCGCAGCCATACGTACTAGCCGTAGGCACTAACTTAAGTAGGCAAGACGCACAAGGGAGACAGAAACAGACACTGGCTTGCAATCTGCCCCAGTGTTGTAGAAATACGCAAGAAGTAGTGCTGATGTGCCCCTGACCAAGGTACCTTGACTTAAAAAGAAAATATGGAGTATTGATCTACCAAGACTGACCAATGAAGTTATCGTACGATCGTCAAGAACCTCGACCCGCGAGATTGTACACGAGCTAGCACTTGCAATCCTTGTGGGCTACGTACCTTCACCCACATGATGTTGGATGCTGATTGATGCAAAGAAACCTGTGGCTTTAAACTAGCTTAGCTCTCGGTAGTCCCAGAATCATAAGACTTTTGCTGCCACTGAATTTTGGTGACATTTGGTGTACCTCTCCCCCATCATGCTTTACTGGTTCAACACGCACATAAAGGATACAAGCCCCTTGGAGACACAAGTTCGTCGCCGACCGAGTTTGAACTAGCAGACTCCAAAATGAGAAAAATGTCCATTCGCGAGGGACTGAACTCCATTGGACCGTCCACACACCCGCAGAGGTGGCTCGGCCTCATTGCGCTATCGTTCATTTTCTTCTTTTTTTTCTTCAACGCCAGGGAATACTCCAACAACTTCTCTGAGAGTTCCACAGACGCCCCGGATGGCCAGTCCGTCCCGATTCACCCAGCTCAGACGACGCTGTCTGAGCCGCCGACGCAGCCACCCTCAGACGTGCAAGCTCCGCCAGAGAACAAAAACCGCCGTCTCGTCGTAATTGTGCCCGCCACCGACCCAAGCCCGGAAATCTGCAAGTTCATCCTGACCGCTATTGCTCTTGGCTACCCACGCCCCATCATCATCAACTGGGGCCTGGATTACCGCTCTGTATCGAAATGGGAGCGTGGTCATAGCCTCATTAAGACGGTGGGGATTGTGCGATATCTTGATGCCGCCTTGCACCCTGATGCCCACCCTGACGAAAAGCTCGACGAGGATGACCTCGTTCTCATCTCGGATGGCTCTGATGTCTGGTTTCAATTGCCCCCCGATATTCTCCTCGCACGTTTTCACAGGAGCAATGCGAGAGCCAATGCCCGGCTACGCGAGCAGTGGCACGGCGACTCACCTATGCCGATGCGGCAAACCATCGTCACAGCATGTCAGAAAAAGTGCTACCCATCCATCATATCCGGCCAAAACATACGCTGCCACCTTCTCCCAGAGAGTCCGCTCAGAGCGGACCTGTACGGCCCAGAGACTGACAAGAACGAAACCCGCCACCACACCAATCGACCCCGGTTTATCAACGGAGGTAGCTACATGGGCCCGGCAGGTGACATGCGACGCATGTTTCGCCGTGCCCAAGCCATACTGGACGCCTACATCGGCACGGGCATGAAGGTCCAAAGCGAGCAGGGCCTCGTGGGAGAGATGCTGGGTGAGCAGGAGCTGTGGCGGCAGTGGCTGAGGAAGCAAAATTCAGCCGATGATGAGGCCATGGCGATGATGGAGCAGACTTACGAGTACCATATCGGGCTTGACTATCATCAGGAGCTGTCCATCCCTACCGTAAAGGCCCACCAGGACGGAGTGTTTATTAAACTGAACAACCAAATCGGTATCGAGGAACACTCGGCAGAACTTCAGATCTCTCCTGTCCGGCTCAAGGGTGTTCCGGATGATATCAAGGCCACCCAAAACCCGCTGGCGAACGTGACGGAGAATCCGGACTGGGGCGAGATGCCCCTCTACGCCGACTTTTTTACCGAATCCGTTCCCGTGATGGTGCATCACAACGCTCACGAGAACAATCTGAAAGAACGACGTGTTTTGTGGTGGGATCAAACGTGGTTCTTTCCGCACCTGCGAGAGCTTGTTGCTCGCACCCTGACGCCAAGGGAACCGACTCCGTTGGCAACTGTGCAAACTGAGGATGGCGAGATCACATACTGGGCGCCACCGTTGGACAGCGTGCGAAGAAAGCCGCGGGTGTTCTTCGACTCGGTTGTGGAATCTATGATTGAGGGCGACTTTAACACTATGTGTCGATATCCGGACGAACAACCGGACGTGGGGCCGCACTGGTGGGACGAGGTTTTTCGGGACGGCAAGGGACCAATTTAGACTGTAGAACATGTATAATTCGAATTGGTAATGAACACAATTTTATTTCATGCCCATTCGATGGTAGTCTATCTCCAGTCGTGTCTTATATGAGTTACCACTTTGAGTAGCCCTTGGCAACTCAACATTCAACTCTGCCAGATCCCTTGTGCCTGTCAGAATCATGGCAAGATGTGCCATTTATCAAGAGGTTAGGGTGCCCTAGTACACACATACCCAGAGGGGGGACTAGAAGCTCAACCGTAAAAAAAACAAAAACACCAACAATAGTATCAACAATACAGACCATATACCCAGTCCATTCAAGTGCCATTTATTAAATATAAATTATGTTTAACTCGAGCTTAGTAACCAATTCATAAGTCTATCTCCTTTCTTCTAGTTCTTGACAAGCTGGTTTTGATGGAGGAACCATTGGACAAACTTTGGAATCCCATGGTCGATCTTGGTCTTCGGGTGGTATCCCAACGACTTCCTCGCTTTTGAAATGTCCGCAAACGTAATTGGCACGTCGCCGGGTTGTACTCACGACGATCGATCAGCGCTTTCTGGCCGAGGCTTTCCTCGAGCAGCTCAATCAACTCTCGAAGCTCTATCGTCTGCGACTCGCCCAGGTTGAAGGTCTCATAGTCAGATCCCCTAAAGTCCACCGCCGCGCGGACTCCTTGGATGATGTCGTCCACGTAGGTGTAATCGCGGCGCGTTGTGCCGTCGCCGAATACAGGAATCGGCTTCCCGCTGTGAATCAGCTTTGCGAATTTGTGAATCGCCAGGTCTGGACGCTGTCGTGCGCCATAGACGGTGAAGAAACGAAGACACACGCATCGGATGTCGTAGAGATGAGAATACGTGTGGCACATCAGTTCGGATGCCGTCTTGGATACCGCATAAGGCGAAATGGGCTTCTGGGTGTCATCGCCTTCCGAGAAGGGGACCTTGGTATTCAAGCCGTAGACGCTCGACGAAGACCCGAATACGAATTGCTTCACGCCGAATTCCTTTGCGCATTCGAGCATGTTCAACGTGCCGCCCAGGTTGGTTTCGACGTACTCAGCCGGCTTCTCCAATGACGGCCGTACACCTGCCCGCGAAGCTAGATGCACAATTGCGGTGAAGTCGTTCTCGGCAAAGACATCGTGCAGAGCGTCGCGCTCGCGTATGTCAATTTCGTATAATGTGAAGTTTGGGTTGAAGTGGTGCGCGGCGAGGTTTGAGCGTTTGATGTTGGGTCATAAAAGTCGTCAAAGTTGTCGACGACGGCAACCCGCCAGCCGCCTTCCGCCAAAAGATGATCAACCAGATGCGAGCCGATGAACCCAGCGCCGCCAGTGACCAAGATTTGCCTTTGAGTCGTGGCCGGGGCATCCAGCTCCAGTGGAGGAGTAATAGACATAATTGCGAAGTGGTTCCAATCCCCACTCACTTCAATCGTGATCGATGCTGCCTTGGACAAGCTAAATCTGCAAAAGGTCGAGGACAGAAGAACCCCAGCGGATATACATCTCTTCTTGACTCAGTCTCGGAACCCCTGAGCTAAATACGATGTGCCTGGGCATCCCGTAGGTAGCTGCGCAGCTAGTGCCACAAGGGCGAGCGCCACTGAAAACGATCTTCCACTATTGATCCATAGCTCGAACTACTGCGCAATGGTTGGGTCGATTGCCCAATAGTTGGTATGTGGGGCTTCAATATTCCTGGAGATGTGGATCTGGTGGCATGAAAATAAGATGACATGTCTTAGCATGGCGTACGTACGGCGTAGGACGTGGATATTGCAATGAGCTTGTTGCGTGTGACCTCACGCGATTTCTGCTTCAGCCAGAGACATTTGGCAGCCCGCAAAAGTACGCGGAACGAGAAGGGATGCATGTGGAATGCTGAATTGGCAGATTAATTCTATGCAAGGACTATCTCGGTGTCCCTTCCGCCATCCGACGCGTTGGATTGTATCTCTGCCGGTAGTGTTGGTGTGAGTGATTTGCCACCAACAAAATGTACACACTCCCGCCTAGGTAAAAAGCCATATGTGAGTAGTCGGCATGTCACACTGAGTGGATAGGATGATGATGATAATGATGAAAGCTCTTGATTTCCTATCGGTCATATAGATGAAGATGAGGGCGGCCTTCGGCAGCCTCTGGGCCAGAGGTCCGGAGGTCTGAGGCCGTTGTCCAGACCGGGTTCCTAACACCCGGTCTGGAAGCTGTTCCAGGCGTCTTGCGATGATCTCAGAATGTGACACGGCACATTCCAGTTTTCAATACGACAAATATGCTGCGCTGAAGTTCTTCCCGGTATTCTCCACGGATAATAGCATAGCACGTATATTTACCCCTTCCTGAAATGCACAGATGAATGTAGCATGTTTCTCTCTATAGTTAAAAGAAAGGTATCAACGGAATCGTAAACAGATTGGGCAGAGGGACACAACTTCTTGGAGATTCGTCAAGGGTTTTCGAAATGGTTGTAGCCAGCAGACCAGCCTGACGAATTCCTACCGACTCGCCAATACTTCGCAATTGCTCCACGGCAAAGCCACGAATGCTGTGTGTATTTAACTCCTCCAGAGCCACAACAAAAAGTGGTCGGATAAGGGAGAGGACGCCTATGAAGCATGATTAGCCGCCTGGGTACAATCGAGGAGCCGAAGAACTCACGTGGAGTGCCCATAAAACTAGAAATAGAAATACACATGTCGGTAGATAACTCCTGGATAATGGAGAGGGGAGCGGACTGTCGATCATCGCGGGGCGCATCTGAACAGGCCTCACATTGATGGATGATTTTGTTCACCACTATCCGGAGGGCTCTCCAGTTATTCCAAGCCTCTGCAATCCAGAGACTAGGATACACATGGATATGTGTGTCAAAGAAGGTACCGGGAGTAGCTTCGGAGGCATCGATTCTAGAATACGCCCAACCTGAGGGCGCACCCTCGCGCCAGGCTTCAAGGTCACGATCGATTTCCAATGCCATGTCGCGTATGACGTCTAGATCGGTGATCTCGCCGTTCGCAAAGACTGCTCCAAGGTTTACTATTCGGAAAGATATTTGACAGACGGAGCCGCTACTTGCGACATTGCTGCGCTGCCATTGTTGTCGAATGATGCTGGTTTGGAAATCCCGGGTTGCTTGTACTAGGGCCTGAGGGACGGGCATGTGCTGCTGTGTGCAGGCCGAAATCTATATCGCATTTAAGCCGTGGGCTTTGGTGAGCAAGGGGGAATTTCATAACAAGACTCACTATTTGAGAGCGGATCAGGATGTAGAGCAGGCCTCCACGCTTCCGGGTAAACTGCTCCTGACCGCGTAGCGCGAGCAAGGCCGTGGCTCCTTTGACATGGGCGGCCCAGTAATCATAGCGATCTGAAGTCTCAAAATTGACAGTCTGTATGAATGTAAGAAAAATCGTCATTAATGGCAACAAGTGGTTCGGGATACCTCAAATAGCCCCAGCAGAATAACTGCCATCAGCGTCGAATCCGCAGCCGCTTGGATCGGATCACCCAAGGCCAGGTTTACGGTGGTCACAGCCTTACAGTACTGCTCTTTAGCTTTTGAAGCGACATGGGGGGCATGGGACACGTTGGATATTCCAGCCATGCCAACCGCCTCGATGGCTGCTTGGAGGACAGACCCATCGTTGAAATACGATTGAGTGAGCCAGTCATGGTAATCTCCACAGAAGGGGACTTCGTTAAAGGTGTATTTAGTAAAGAAGAAACTGCCACCCAGGTTATTAACGGGCTGGGAAGGGGGGTATGATATTCCGAGTGGGAGAGAAGTTGGAGGGGGCTCGCAACCAGTGGCCAGTCCACTCTTTGGCGGATAGCTGGAAGTAGCAATGACCTCTTGGGCCAATGCCGGTTGTGGCTGGTCCAATTGGCGAGCTTTCCGGATAATTCGTTCAGACTCGTTCCGAAACAAGACTTGATCTAGGTCCCGGCAGCCTGGGCATCGAATTTTTGATTTCTGGCATTTCAAGCATGCGGGTTTCCGCTGGTCGCACTGCCAACACCAGGTAGTCAGTGGATTAGTGCCTTATAAGATGAAAGTTATTGCAACATGCCTTGACCTGCCGCCGGCGACAGCGTTCACAGCCTTTGCTGACCACGCCATAATACCCCATGAAAATGCCGATGGGCCGGAGTTGAGCATCCGGTCTGCTCCTGTCGAGGGATTACTCAAGCTTTAGTTGGGTTGTCAAGGTGGAAAGTGAGGAAAGTCCGCTTCCGATCTATGGCCTTGAGCGGAGAAGACAGATATCTTCCACACCGGAATCACGGCAAGCTTCGATCCTTTGGTCGGTTCACCGCCAATAATATTGCGAACAACGCCAGTCTGACGCAGCCCCCGCACGCCGATAATCCGGGATCCGGAGTGGACACCAAAGTCCGGCCGGGATTCGCACTCTTCCCCTGTAACGGGCATAGCGTGATCTGGCCATGCGAAGCTGCTATTGGTTGGTTTACTCAATCGGAGAAAACGGAGCGTAAGCTGAAGTTAAGAGAGAGCAACATAAGTCATAACCTCATCATCTTTTGATTTCTTTAAATTGACGAGATAACCACTTGCTCTCTCTCTTGAAATTACAGTTCTTTATTCCAGTTCAAATACAAAAGACAGCAACGAAACAACTGTCAACTTCCTCTGCCCCAACACGCCACCTACTTCACCATGTCCCACCCTACACCTACACCAACGCTGTCCACGACAGAAAAGACATTCAGCTCCTACAACAGCGCACAAGGAAGCGCCTATTCTGAAGTCCGTCGCGACTACCACCCAAACCTCTATAAGTTCGTCCTGGAACAGCATACCTCTACGGGCGGTCAACTTGACAGGCTGGTCGATGTTGGCTGTGGACCCGGCCTCGCCGCTCGCGCTCTCGGTCCGCACTTTACTTCTGTCATTGGACTCGACCCTTCCGAAGGCATGATTGCTACTGCTCGGTCCCTCGGCGGCGTCACATTAACTTCTGAACCAATCCGCTACGAGCGTGCTACTGCCGAAGAACTCGGAGGCGTTGAGGATTCCAGCGTCGACCTCATCACTTCTTCCAACGCAGCCCATTGGTTTGACATGGCGGGTTTCTGGCCCGCGGCAGCTCGTGTTCTCAAGCCCGGCGGAACCGTCGTGCTGTGGACCTCTGGCGAGATTCGCGCGCATCCTTCCATGCCCAACTCTGCCGCCATCCAAGCTGCTATTGAAAAGCACCAAGAGGGTAATCTGATGCCCTACTACGTGGCTGGTAACTTGCTCCCCCGGAATCGCTACCGTGGCATCCTACTCCCTTGGACCTTACCGGAGCCGGTGGAGGCATTTGATGAGAGCGCTTTCGTCCGCAAGGAGTGGGACAGCGGCGAGGACTTCCATGTGGGTGAGTCCGTGGCGGATCTGGACACGTTTGAGAAGTTGATGGCGAGCGGAAGTCCCCAGGTGCGATGGCACCAGGCTCACCCTGACCTTGTCGGGACTGACAAGGATGTGGTGAAAATCCTTCGAAACGAGATTGAACAGCTGTTGCATGAAGCCGGCGTGGAGAAGGGAAAGGAGATGGTCAAGGGCGCAGTGTCGGGAGCCGTGTTGGTTGTGAAAAAGAAGCTGTAGTATTTTTGGAACCCATCTGCACTACTAACACAGCTAAAATGATACTTGACATCTGTTAAATACAACCAGTCTCAAAGTCTCTGCCCGAAGCCACACCGGGCATGCGCAATTTCCCTTGTAGCAAGGTGCATGAATGAAATGCATGGTGGTTCCCAATATAGAAGTGAGGGAGTTATATGCTTGGGTTGGAGGGATGCTGGGCGTGTGCAACTTTAAGGAGATGCAGCCAGGAGATGGTTTATAACAACACATACGCCGCCTTTGAGTTAAAAGCATTGCCAGTTTCGGTAAAATTGAACGAGATGAATGTCTCGGCGAGAAATCAGATTGGTGCCACGGAGTTGTCAATATTATACCAATTCGTCTTACTAGCTGTTTGTCTTAGTCTAGGGTCACAGTCACTCACTCCTGAGGCAGAAAATTCGACAACAGTCTTAAATATAAAAACTAAAACACAACTAAATCTCGACATTCGAAGCGCGTAATCAGCTAGCATAAACCAGTGAGGCAGATTTAGATACTAAACAGGCAGAAGCCAAAAGAAAGAAAAAGACTACATCCTCGAATGAGGACCGAAACAAGAGATGAGCAAAATGAAATTGGCCGGCCAGATGAGATGTATTCCACCCGGCATTTAGTGCCAGCAGTTGCCGCGGACATCGTTTCGGTTTCCACCGAAGTTGACATCCCAGGCCTCCTGGCAGGTGTTCTCAAACGGCTGGCCATCAATGCCACGGCCGACGCCCTTGTCAATGCACTGCGAAGAATGAGGTTAGTAAGAAGGGGATTTCATTGGTGGAAAATGTTCAACTCACAGAATAGCCATCTATTGAAAGTGTTAGTCATGAATCGGATGATGGGATGACGGATTTCCTTACCGAACCAGGTATGGGGATGAGTGGCACCCCAGAGAGCGCAGGCAGCTCTGCTCAGCTCGACGTGGTACTGGCCGCGAACGTTGCAACCACAGTTGTGGTGAATTTTGGCAGTCGCACTAATAGATGTCAGGTTGTAATTATCACCAACGAGTATTCTACTCACGTGCTGCCGAGAGTGAGGAGAGTGAGAGCAATGGTGGTGAACTTCATTGTTGCGGTTTGGAGTGGTGATCAGAAGATCTTGGTGATGGGATGAGTAGAGAAGTGCTGGAGTATTGTGTGATTGTGTGATTGAGTGCTTGCTGTTGTTCAAATTTGAAAATGTCGGCGGGAACCTCATCTCTTTATACCTGAGCCACAAGCCGTGAACTGTACCTCCTGAGGGTAGCAAACCTACGATGCCCATCACACTAACTCCGAGGCAAGATTCTACTGTGCAAATACAATTTCTCTGGTCCTGTGGGAGCTGCTTGGTAATTCGGGATCTCTCGGAGACCGAGTTGCGCGAGAATGAAGCCATTTACCTCTCCCATTCACATTAGACACCAACAATCGTGAAGTTTGTTCTGAACTTTAACAAGATTGTCCGTTCGTACCATATATACCCTGTTGATGGGATTTCTGCCTATTGCATCGAAGCATTGGCAACGTGCCCTACAGGGCTGGGCTAGACCTTGCTTCCCATTGGGGCTTTGTCGTGTTTCATTTGTTGGCCTCGGCTGTCAACTAAGCCCCAAATACGCCCGGCCACATTGAAATATGGAGAAGAGTGCATACGAACTTTTTTCTCTCTTGAGAACCCAGCTATTAAATTACATACTATACGCACAAACAGCCATAGAAGGTAACCACGGCTACAATAGTCGGTAATGATTTCAAAATACAAGCAAGAACAAAGCCTCATCGCAACGTGCACTCAAGCCACATCTCCTCACAGTACTGTCGAGGACGGGACGAAACTTAAACTTTTCAAGGACTTGAACAAGCATAAGCCTCAAACATAAGCTTGCCACACTGCAGGGAGGCTCCAAAGAGCGGTAAATGCACATAGGAGGAAACAGTAGTGCTATTGTGAAGGACAGGGGTCAGAAGGCATATGAAAACCATGCTACCGGTAGATCTGGAGAGACAAAGTAACCGAACACGGGCCCAATTCTGCATCAGGTCATCAAGTCCAGATAAGACGGCACTGGTCGTAGTTCGGGATCGCAATGCAGGGGCCACAAGTGGTCCAATTATCGGCAGTGGACAAGAATGCACGTCCTTTGCAAGGGAATTAGATGAATTAAACTTCACGCTTGGTATCTGATATATATCCTGATATATATCCTGATATTCCAGGGGGGAATCAGCACTTAGGTTTTCAACACCACAACCAAGATTCCTTATCTTGTATAGCTCTTTCTAGAAGCCTAGTCGCTAGAAAACATGGAAATGTATTTTTTTTTCCTGATTAGATCTATATTCCTGTTGTGGCTGCTTGTTGAACCTCAAGAGACAATGCCGTCGTCGCTCGACCGTGACGTTTTCCTCTTTTGGATTAGTACGGTTTTGAGAGAGCGTGACGATTCCTTAATTTGGTTAGCACCGAAAAGCTAAGTACCCCGCCACCCGGTTCGTGCGTCTGGATATGAAACGCCGCCGGTACTTTGGGGTCATGCATCCAGCTTCGCGTTCGACTTATTGCATTAGGGACTCTGTTTCTAACGACATAGACTTCAATAAATATGCCCGAACACACGACTGCTTGATCTCTTTTACTCTTTAGAAATTCTCATCAATTGACTAGCGTCCTCACCGATCCCCGCGGAACCTATTGTCCAACATTAGCCGATATCCATATGAATTACCTAAGTATACCTCCTTTAATTTATATAAAACCGCATCCATATAAACACAGAAGGGAGAGAGGTGTCCTTAAGAAACCTACGATTGAACTCCTATGAGCCCCTATTATAATCCTTAAGGTCTTCTGTCTGCTATTGAGCTATCTCCCTTTTTAAACTCCACAATATCAATTACTTTGGTAAAAGTCCGAACATGTCACTCGTCGGGGAAGCAACAGTGCGATTCAAATTTGTTAGTACTCAAGAACAAGACCCCGCTGTGCGACGTCGGCGTCGTCTAGATGCGAAACGAGCCCGGGACTACCGGCTGCGTCGAAAAGCAAAACAAGGCATCGATACCACTGACCCTCGGACCGAACCATCATGTCAAGCAGTTGAGCCAGGGACAGAGCCTGGGCAGGCGGGATCTAATAGTCCGCCAGTCGATTCTGAGGAGTTTGAACAGGAATTTATTCCTGCTGATGATATATCCATTACCTCCAGGCAGGGAGGTGCGGATTCTGATGGGAATAGCATTGAGCAGGATCCCTGTGGCGATGAAGAACCCGTCGGCCTTCACTTTCACTGTGCTACAGATCATGAAGCTCAGACGGAGCCCCAAATTCCAGAGTTCTATACTGAACAGGAAGCAGATCTTCAAGATGGCGATACCTGGTCAGACGTAGAATATACCACCGAGAAGTTTATTCAGCAGTTTCTAGTCGGAATTCATGGTTGTGGCACTGAGAAACATCGAGAAGACCTAGCAACGCATATCGAAGCTGAGGAAGCTCATAACCATCATGGGCTGGATCAACTATTCTCAAGTAATGTGCCTCACACACTCGACAAACCGTACGCGCTATCGTCTCAAGCTCATCATGCGACACCGAGTCTGGGCCCTACTCAATGGCAAGAGTTATTCTCTGGCCATACACCTCGACAATTCGAAGGCAAGCCTAAGCAGGCCTGTCTCCACACCGAACATTCACAACAGACTACTCCGGTCGTTTCATTCGACATTGATAGCATCTTGGGTTTCGTGACTTCTCCTGCAACAGCAGTCCACGGCATTCAGTTTTATTCTGCTCCTCAGTATGGTCAGAATATTTCCACAGACGTCCACCTTACCTTGGATCGCGTGGATCCAGATCCGGAGCGGCCCCAGTTGATTCCGTCACGACTCAAAGACGTGCCGCATTTCATCTTCGCGAGGGTTGAAGGCGCTGATTTCATCACATTTCACCTATTCTTTCCATATTTGCTATGCTCCCGCGACTTCAATCGGTTAACTGACGAGCAGCTCTCGCGGTGGTTTGATGATATCTTCTATCCCGCTGTCCGTCAGGTTTACGATGTCGATCGACTCCAGCACTTGCCGGCAAGTTATCGTCACGCATTAGCTACCTGCCGCGCTCCCAAAGTGGAGGATCGTTTGCTTGAGACACCTAGTTATCGGACTCAACTCCGGATGACCTATTTCCTACCACCGCAGGGCTTGCAGCAACTGTGGGACCGTATTCTCGCAGCGGTACGGCAACCTGGATTGCAGGACTTTCGCGATCCAGAGCTTTTCGTCGAGGCAAAGGGCACCAAGCTTCTGTTCAAATACCCGGATGCGCCATCTGATCTGCTTGCGGTCATGGAGAACTTCGACTGTAAGCTACACCATGTTCTAGACTTCTCCCACATATGCAGTGACCGGTTGTACATTGATGTGGGCAAAGAGACCTGCCCACTGCACGACAGCGTTCCATCGCCTGAACCTCAGACATACCTTTGGCGGCGTTGTTGCATCCGTCATCACCTCGATCAGCTCTATGATGGGAACATTCCCAAGACCGGCCAAAACTTCTACCACGAGTCAATGCTTCGAGATGCTGGCGGCATGACTACACTGACACCTCCGAGCTCTCGACTCCGCCGCGGAGGCATTCTCTATGGTCAGATGTACAGTCTTACCAAGGAGATCATAGACGCCGCTCGCACGTTTCCATTTCAAAATCCAGATCTACGGCACTTAGCATTAGACCCTCAGCTTCGCAATGGTGTGCAAAGCATTTGTGGCAAGCCAGCATCGGGCAAGAACATCACAGATCGAGCGTATCTGGCCAGCAAGCGCCGTTGTCACTATGGTCTAACAGATTCTAAGCAACGATCCTTTGGTGTCCGCGAGGAATATCGTATTTCGTGGACCTTGTTTCAAAGCGTCATGACGGTCCTACGCTCTTTAACCCCCGAAACCCGCTCCATCAAGCTACCGGGGCCTCCACCTCATTTATGGGCAGTTCGCAGTTCTCTTTTTGTTGATTTTGTCTGGCACAATATTAACAAGTTTACAACCGGGTTTGAGCTGGTCCGAGCCCAGTGCTCCGCGGGATTGACGACATGGGAGCAAACCAAGATAATGGACATGTTTCTCCGATGTCTCCGAGTCGCAGTTGGAAGACATGATTACTCACGAGAAGGGGCATTATGGTGGAGTAGACGAGAGCTGCCCCAACCAGTGGGCTTGCCACAAGTGCGTTACGGCCTTGGCTTTAGCCAAACACTAGAGCAGTATGGCTACTGCTGGATTGAACCTCGCATCAACTGGGCTCTGTTGAGGTTTCTTCCAGATATCACTGATTCAGTCTTATTTGGGAATGGCGCTCTTCATCAACGATATCTCAAATATGGTGGCCATGTCAGGCATTTCTTTGACCTCAGTCGCCGCGCTGATTTGGGCCTCGAGTGGCTCCGGCGGTATCCCAGGGAAGATGTTGTAACCGATCAGATTGTGTCATGGCTCTGTCACATTTGTCTGCAGCAAATGAGGGCTGACGTCCTTCATTCCATTCAAGGTGACCTCCGCCCGAAGGTTCGCACTACGATCCTAGACGATCATGTCGACTTTTGCCGTAAAGGTCTTTCCGCTGCCCTGGTTAATGGTATGACGGCAGTATCGGGCAATCATGCGAGTGTCAAGAGCCCTCAGGAAGTTGCCCAAGCATTATTCGGTTTTAATGACGGTCGGCTGCGAGGCCATTGGGAAAACAAACCGTTTCGGAAGCTTCATCAGTGGATATGTGCTGCATTGCAACATATTCCAACTGACAATAGGCTATCACAAGCATTCGCACGTCGACTTCAATGCTACCTATTTGCATATCACTGGGTATTGCCATATCCTACGCCGGGAGGACTAGCTCCAAGGACCAAAGATGGCAAGCGCCGGTGGTTTTCGATAGATATCCAGGGTGAAACGGGACTCGCAATAGAGAAAGCTTCTCCGGAAAGCTGGTGTTGGGCGAGAACCCGCTGGCGGCCGGGACACCCTGCACCCCTCCCCCAGTACCTCGGTTGGAGCCAGGATCAATGGCAGTCTTGGGTTGATCGACACATCGGCCAAACTTTATCATACGAAGTATGGGAACTCGGCTACGATCAGGAGAATCTTGCTTTCAACGTATCAGATAAATCAAGCGGTTTGCGGCGGAATCCCCTGCGGGGCACTCGTGACTCTGCTATTCAAAATTCAGGGAAGAGTCACGATATCAACTCCTCGATCTTAAATTCATCTGGTGTTGAGAGCGAGGCGCCCATATTGGCGAGGTCACAACCGGTAATCCCAAGCCACCTGCAACCCGAACTGGAATTTCAAATGTGCCAACGGGTGGAACGGTATATAACAAGTTTCCGAAAGCAGATTGCGCATGGATGTGCGCAAGCTTTTGAGTCACAAAAATTATCCATGCCTCAGTCGATAAGGAAGGATACAATAAGCTGCCACGCACCGCCATCGGCTGTACAGCCGCGACTTACCCGGAGGCCACTACTACCTAAACCAGTGCCCCCCCTTATTTCGGGATCACAACTCACCCCCCCAGGTCTGCCCCGACCAACTATGCAAATACATCATATGACCTGCGCCAACCAACAGCCACATTGCGGCACAGAAAAGAGACATCGATCAGTTTCTAAACGAGGTCGGCCCGCAAAGTACGCAAGTCGAGAAGAGAAGGCGGTGGCTGATGTTGCCCGAAGACGAGCCCGAAGACGAGCCCAGCGGCAAATGGCCCCTGATCGACGTGCAGAGGGATTTTCCCGATTCTACGAAGTCACCTGGGTTGAATGAGGTATAGATTGTAGGGACTCCATAGTTAGCAAACAACCAATATGTGTTAGAAAGGTAAGGAGGTAGATGAGTATAAGTACTGCAATTGAGAACTGTCAATTTTGCTAGCAAGAGTCAAATTTTCCCACTCCTAATGCCGTACTAGTAGTACAGTGTAATCATGGTAGGCCTCGAAAATATTCCACATCTGAAGCCAAGGCCGCAGTGGATGCAGAGCGGAGACGGGTGAGGCGGCAGCATGCGGCCCCCGTGCAACGCGATACGGTACATGCCAACTTGTATAACTCAGTTTTCCCCCTAGAATCAGTGGGAGGTGCCGGGTGGGTGAACGTATTCAGCGGCTCCTATTCTCTGGCTAATCCCACTGGTGCGCCGGGACCGGACAACACGGACATCTCACAGTTCCTACCCACGGTCGATTCTCAACCATTAGAAGATATTGAAGAGCAGGCTATGCCCGATGTTGGTATTGATACATATGCTGGAGAGTCGGTATCCATTTCAAATCATAATAGCCCTGATCCAGACCCAGCCATTACCTTCGACACAACCTCGTATACCTCACCCGAGGCAGAGGATGACGAGCAAGATCCGGTCAGACACCTTGCGCACGAGTTGACAGAGCAACTGGCAAAATTCCGAGGATGCTGCAATGACTGCCACCAAGAAGCAGATTGTGAACGATCGGATGACCCAAATGAACACATCAGTCTCGCAATGTATCTGGAATTTGCACCTGAGCTGGGTCCTGACATTCTTGGCTCTGCGACTATAGCACACCAAAAAGATGACCTAGCTGGAAAGCTCGATGCTGCAACCCGAAGAGAGATGTTCTGTGGTATCGGCTCCAGAGACGAGATACCTCGTATTTGCTTAAGAGAAGACGATGGGGTTACAGATGATGCCGGGGTTTCCTTTGATGTGGATAGCATCATAGCCTTCCCAAGTTGCCTCGCGGTTGCCAAGCAGGGCATTCGATGGTCTCCTACCCAGATGACTGTCTCTGATCTTCAGTCTGATCTTCACCTCCGTTCAAGGCCGGTCACTTACCTCGATGCAACTGGAATACAACATCAAGTACACCGACCTGTCCACCAGATTCCTCATTATACCTTCGGCCGTGTCGTTGGATTGGAGGATATATCTCTGTACTTTCTATTTCCCAACCTGTATCGAGAGGAGCAGAAGTGCAGCCGGCTCCGAGACGAAGACTTTCAGTTATGGACGGACGGCATTCTCTTCCCGGCAATATACAAATGCTACAGCAGCGCCCATGTCCAGCATTATCCGTCGAGCTATGACCACAGTCGCTATAACTCTACCGCTCGTGGAGTGGAAACACTTGCTCAGCGTGTACATCCAGTAGCACGGGAACAACAATTAGTGTACTTTCTACCACCAGAGGCACTAGCCGAAGTTTGGGCCAATATCCTCGCCACTGTTCAAGAACCAGGGTTCCAACAGTTCCAGGATGTGACTATCCTCCTTCAAGCAAAGAACCTGAAGGTCCTCACAAAAGACGTCACCTGGGAGAAAATGGTATCACGCTTCAAGGAGTATTGGGTCAAAGCCATTGACGAGAACCACATTACGCCAGACTTCTATCTTGATATCGGAAAAGAAACTTGCCCTCGACAGGCATCGCAAGTTGTACCTTGGAGCCAACTGGCGGCTGAGGCTATGGATGATCTAAGAGACAAACGAGCCGAATCGCTGATATACAGGCGATGCTGCTTGGAGTCATATGCCTTCCAGGCCCAGCACGGGTCGGCTGATGAAGCGAGCCAGAAACAAGCCTTTTATCCCTTCAGTATGCTTCAAGATACCGGAAGCTTGACTATTGAGACTGGAAAGCGTTCTTCACGCCGTCTTGCTGGCCTTCTCTACTCTCAATTCTATCCCAGTGTCAAGGAAGTTTTCGCGGCAGGGAATGTGTATCCATTCACAAACACAGCCATTGAGACGCTTGCCCTCGACAAGAAGTTAAGAAAGACATGGGAACTTGTTGGAGGTGGTCTCAGCCATCAGCCAGCTGCATTGATCAAGGCATATCTATACACAAAGCTCCGATGCCACTATGCGTTGTTGGGATCTATGCAAAAGTCTTTTGGCATCAGAGAAGAGCATCGTGTTTCCAAGGAGCTATTCTACGCGATTGATAGTCGAATGCGCTCCCGAGAGCTCCACAACATGCGCCTTGTCGTACCCACCAACGATAGTTCCCCATACTATAGTTTCACGACCGATACTCTGCTTCGATGGCTGCGGTGGAATATCAACAAGTTCTGTGTCGGGTTCGAGATGGTATACAGCTTTCAGGACCCGCATTTTGTGACTTGGGAGCACACAAGAATCATGCTTATGTTTCTTCGCTGTCTCCAATTCTCTTACTCGGGTGGATTGATACAGAAAGTCGGCGGTTGCTGGCAAGATATACGACAGCGACCCGACCCAAGTCAGCCAAACGGACTTCGCCGATACGAAGGTCTCGGGTTCAAACGCACAATGGAGGTGTACGGCTATGCTTGGTTTCTTGACAAGATCGACTGGAACACGCTCACTTTCCGACAACCCCATGCGGCCTATATGATGTTCAACAACCCATCCATGCAGACTGTTTACCGCGCTCGGTACCACCAAGTACGAGATGTACGGATCGACTTCATTCGAGTGGATAAGGCTTACCAATGGATGCTCGAGTTCAGTGCCATACCAATGTGCCTCGACCTCTTGGAGAATTACCTTCGAGAGCTCTGCTTGTGTGCCTTTCGAAAGGACGTCTTCTTTCACGTCAAGTCAGCTCTGAAGCCAGAGTGTATGGAGGCTGCATTGGCAGGAGACATTCCCCTCTGCTATGATAGTGTCAACAATGCCATGCTCAAAGATTACCAGCCACTTCAGCTTGCGCAAGGAAACAGGTTGGCAGTGAAGGATGTTCATGTGTTATTTGCTTGGCTTTGGAAATCGAAGGATGACCATTTTGAACGGCAGGGGTGGAATGAGAAGCCATACCGTATGCTATTCCAGCAGAGCTTCCATGCCATCAGGACCGCACGAGGTAAATCTGGCGCACGGAGGTGGCGACAAGAGCTGAAAAGGTCATTCCTTGGAAGCCATTGGATTCTCCCATATCCACATAGCCGGGGATTCATGCGTAAGGAGAAGGAGGAAAAACAGTTCACATGGTGGCCCAGTTTGCATCAAGGACTCATCAGACACTACGCCAAGTCCCGACAGACTGGAACACTTGCCCATCCACTGCCAGCATCCAACATCGAAAATCATCCTATTGACGGCTGGCAACTAGCAGGTTCTCGGTTTTCCAGGAGCTATATGCCCTATGTCATACAACCCGAACAGGAATTGATTCGAATGCCTGAAAATGAGCTCTATGCCCAGTTGGTTGCTCTTCGGGAGCAAGTATCAGCTGGGCTGCCTCAAAGCCCTTCTATCATACCTACACTGGAATTAGATACCTCTCCCGAGAGTCCTTTTTTTCCAAAGAAATGGTGCCAGATAAGACAAATGGAAGTTGCTAAAACATTCGAGGAATGCGATGAGGTTAACGACTGTATCTGGTTTTTGAAAAAGGGGTTAGAGTCATATGAACATCTCCAACATCGTCAGCAAAACCGACGCAAAAGGCGTCAGAACCGCACTACGATCCAACCAGACAGCGACTTGAGTTCAATATCAGGAAGTGATGAAGCTGAGGCTACTTCAGATGAGGAGGGCCTTGTTGTTATGCGGAAAAAGCAAGCACAAGTGGTGCGCAATATGGAAACTCGAGTCCATGAGCTCATTGAAGAATTTAAACGAAGATATCCGCAATGGAAGAAGTCTTATGACCCTATCTTGAGGAAGTTGAATCGCCGTCTAGAAAGAGTTGAATAATAGATAAGAAGACAGTAGACCTCGTTGAAAACCCCATATAAATTCAAACCGCGCTATTAATGACTAGAGGGTGAACTTGTAGAAGACCCAAAGGGGTGAACTTATAGAAGACCTAAAGGGGTGAACTTGTAGATATTTTCACTACGAAAATTCCCATAAAGCCAATTTCACAATTAACAACATACAGAAGAGATTATATACGAATAGAATATAGTATCTATCAGAAAATCATAAATGAACTATCAGAAAATTATAAATAAACTCTTCGAAGAGGATATATATATTCCGCCTATAATCCATAGTTAAAAACAGTAACCCAGCAACCCAGTAAAAGCAATATATCAGACAGTAAAATAGAATAATAATATAATTACAGCCCAGTATTTATTATAATTATTATCACCACGGCCCCAGCAATATAGAGCCGTTTATTTACGTACCCGAGTACCCATTTGTTATATATAAACCATACCAAATAGCCGTCGTATCCAACGAGGTAGTCCGTCATATGAAAGCACAGCATGCAGCAGATAACAAGGCCAAATACATCCACAACATCATCAAGGCCATCCCCGGGATCATCAGTAACCAAGAAGAGTTAAAGCAATGGTCAGTACCGCCCCCAACCACAGCCCCGATACCATGGTTGCCGCCACCCAAGCCGGACGGATTAGGATGTGATGAGTGTCCGTATGTGGCCCGTCAGTTGCGACGCATCAAACAGCATTATCGGGTTCATCATAGATGGATAAACCATCGGACACGCAGTCGGCGCACCAAGGAGTCCGCAGCAGCCGACCCGGCGGTGCCATGGAGAACAGGAGTGCAGTGTCAGCGGTTTTTCCGGAATCGGGTCGCCAGCAGTTGGTTCGAGGTCGGTCGGAGCATCCCATCAAGCAGCAGAGGGGACAGCCAGAACGACGTCAACCGCAAAGCCGAGTTTATTAAGCGCATTCAGCAAGAAGATAAAGAAGCGTTCGAAAGCGAGGCCAATGCCCGGGTCCAAGATATCAGCGACAAGTGGGAGGCGCAGCGATGGTTGAAACGATGCGGATGGCCCCGGCATTTGGCCAATATCGACAAGATGTGGTTGCGGAAGGAAGTGTTGCAGCCGATTGGCGAGAACGAGCCGGTATTGCAGACGATGTGGGAGATTTTCGAATGCGTATTGGACAATGCGTATGTGGCCACCAGCCGTTGCAGTCCCGGCACAGCCGAGTTGTTCGAGATGGAGCGGAAAGAGATTCACATCACGCCCAACAAGCCGTTTGAAGGGATTATGGAGCCAGACGCATGGATCCGGTACAAGGGGCATTGACGTACGATGATGTGTATTTGGGAGCGATTGCAGATATTGGATGGAACGCATGGGGACAGCGACAGCGACAACAGCACAGAGTACAGTACGGACGAAAGTGACGACGAAGATGCCCGTGGCAGCACAAGCGAAGAGAGCCGCAAGCCCGGAAGCCGGCGCGGGAGGAAACGGCCGCCGTACCGCACGACAATACAACAAGACAGGTCGTGGGCCCAGTTTTGCCAAGGAGTTGAGCAGGTTGTGGCCGGGACCGACACCATTGGCCGATATACAGAGTGTCGGTTGGAACGGAGTTGTTTAGACGCCGTCATCCAATTATTCGACCATCCATTGAAGAGCGGGCAGCATTACGAGAGTATCGTCATTAGTGCGTTGGCCGTCATGGGGGTTGAACCCGGACGGCGGATGGATACCGGTTGTGAATTACACCCAAGTATATTCAGCCGTCATCAAGGTGGCCCGGTATTTAGTGTTATACCAGTCCACATTGGAGCGGCAGGATCAGATCGCCCAGTTGCAGCAGGTTGTAGGTAAACGGAGGGCAAAGGAGAAGGCCGACGGGTTGTTCCGCATTATCCGAGGCAAGATGCGGCGGTTCATGACGCGGATATCCGATGACAAGGAAGCAGAGCCGACGCCGATGAATTGTATCATCGATACACGTTCGTACGGGTTGAAGATCCGATTTACGACCCCGGGCGAGGAGACGATCGATTGGCGAGGCGACCAGATTATTCACAAACGCGTGCGATTGGGGATGGGCACGTTATCCGATATGTTGCATAACGTATTGCAGGAGGCGCGGCGTATGTTGGCCGTGTTGACCATGACAGACACCGCCGCAGCCGGGGACGGAGAGGCAGAGCCGGGGCAGAGCGTTGCGCAGGTACGGCCGAGCCGTCGAGCAGTTCCGGGAGCAGATATGGATGATGATGCATATGTTGGGCGGGCAGCCGGCACGAGCCCCTAACCACTATTCCGCGGTCATCCAGTGCCATTCGGCGGCACTCGATGACCGCTCTGCGCACGGCCATTGGCCCGCGCCCCCCGGCCGCGGCCCCACCGGACCTCAGGGGCGGCACTTGATGACCGTTGGCACTTGATGACCGGTCTGCAGCCAATCAGAAGCCGGCTAGGGTTAAGGGTAAAAGGGGGAGAAAGAGGGAAAAGAAGGGCTAAGACAAAAGAGAGAGAGAGAGAGAGAAAGAAGAGAGAGAGAGAGAGAGAGAGAAAGAAGAGAGAGAGAGAGAGAGAGAGAGAGAGAGAGAGAGAGAGAGAGAGAGAAAGGAAGAGAAAAAGAAAGAGAGAAAGAGAGAGCAAGAAAAAGAGCCTTTCCTTCCTTCCTTCCTTCCTTCCTTCCTCCCTTAACTTCCCCTCCCCCTCTCTCCCTCCCTCCCTCCCTCCCTCCCTCCCTCTCTCTCTCTCTCTCTCTCTCTCTTACTATGGATCAGCAGCAGCAGCAAGCAGCTATTACAGCAAGCCAGAGCTGGCTCTGCCACTATCCCCACCTTCAGATCCTCATCTGCACCTCTCACGGCTATGCTATTACCGACCTGCCAAGCCACCTCCGCAAGCAGCATCCCGACCTCAGCCAGCCCACTCGCCGGGCCCTTGCTGAATACTACAGCCAATAGAACCTCGAAGGACCTAGCTGCCGCCTGCAGCTGCAGCAGCTAGAGCCAGAAGGCCAGAGGGAGGGCGAGAAGAAGCAGGACCTTAGCAGTGCCGGCAGCAGAGGCACGGCAGCAGTAGCCCCCTTTGCTGGGCTTCCTGCCCACCCAGTATTCCGGTGCCGGAAATGCTCCAGCTTTATAACAGTTAACTGGAAGCTCTGCAAAACACACTGCAGCCAGCTCCATGCGTGCAGCAGCAAGCAGGCTCGAGCCGGCCTCTGGTATCGGGCTCTAGCTCAGACCTTCTTCACGCAGCCGGCAAGACGGGCCTACTTTGCAGTCGACCCAACTGCAGCTGCTGCAACAGCCGCCTCCTTCCTAAGCCTAGGCTGCTCGTTACACTCACACTCTGGCTCTTCTTCTTGCCCCTTAAGCTCAAGCTCAAGCTCAAGCCTCAGTATAGAGTCTAGAGCAGAAGTACAGAGGCAGGGGCAGAGGCAGCAGCAGCAGCAGCAGGCTCAGCTTGCAGCTACTATCCAGCAGCGATGGAGGCACGAGCAGGACGACCAGCTAGCAAGGCTGCTTCAGATAGCTAAAGATAGCATCCCCAAGCACGAGATTACCAACTGGCTGCGGCATACCGGCTGGCTCGATCACTTTGGCTGCCGAGACCTCAGCCGCATCCACGCCGCCAGCCAGATGCCGCAGCCAGCAGACGAGCCGGGCCTAGAGCTCCTTGTTAAAGCTCTAGACCACGTCTTCTTCCGCCGCTGCATCTCCGGCCTCCAGACGCTGCCGCATATCGGCCGGCTCTTCCTGGCCAGCCCCTACCTGCAGGAGACTCACAGCCGGCCCTTTGGGCCCCTGCAGGAAAAGGACAGCATGGATCGATATCTGCGCTATAGCAAGCGCTTCCTCTGCTACTGCCTCCGGGTTCGAACACTCGAGCCGGCCGAACTAGCCACACAGCACGCCCTTATCCTTACCCCAATGCAGCGAGGCCAGCTTGCGAGGCTTGCCCGTCGGCTCGAGCAGGCTGTAGCTGCAGGCTGCAGCTATAGGAGCGGCAACAACAGCGATGAGGACGAGGACGATGAGGGCTATAGCAACGGTCATAGCAATAGCAAGATAAGAGCCCAGGTTGAGGAAGAGGTCCTACAGACTCTAGCCAGCTTCTGGATGCAGCGCCTTCCTGCCGACCCCTTTGCGAGCCCGCTGTGGCATTTTGTCGCCGTCCTGGGGATCAACAAGCAAACCGGGCAGCTGCAGCCGGCCTATCTATTTACAGGCACTCTAGCCGGCCTCGTATATACAGGCCGAGCTGTTGTAGCCGAGGCGGCGATCCCCAGCAGCCAGCGGGCGGCACTAACAGATCTGCCCGAGCAACTGCATACAGCAAGAGAGAGCTGGCTATGTAAGACCAGCTTTGCACCAATGGGCTATATCTTGAGCCTGCTGCTCTACAGTCGGAAGATTGCAATGGAGACCGGCAGCCGGCTTGCAGTCTTGTGGAATGCTGAAGGAACCCTGCTTTACTACCACGGTCAGCCTCTTGCAATGGATACCATCCGGCAGCTAGTAGCTAGAATGACAGCAGATGCTGAAGATATGCTGTGGGAAAGGCTGCTATTCCGGCCCTCTAGCAGCAGCAGCACGACGACAGCAGCAGCAGCCGGGCTTGAAGCTCAAGGCCGCTTTCTCATCCCTCTAGCAGCTATTTGCGACGACCTGACTCAGACCCAGCGCGGCCACTCCTTTATGCATACAAACGGCCTGCTCGGGCGGGAAAAGGAAATGCTCCAGAGCCTTATAGCAGGCCCGCTACGGAAGGAGTTCCTCGACAGCAAGGGCGAGTGGAAATGGCCTCGGGTCCAGCGGTATTTACAGCAGGTTAAGCGCTTTCAAGAGCTGCTCCTGCTCCTCATCCATCTAACCAATCAGCCTCTTCGAGGGCCGGAAATCACCGGACTGCGGCTTGTCAACGGCATCAATCGGGACCGCAGCGTATTTATCATCGACGGCAAGGTCGTCTTAGTCAGCCAGTATCACAAATCCCTTGCCCACTTCGACAGCCCTAAGGTTATCCCTCGGATGCTGCCGGGCCGGGTTGGGCAGCTTCTGGTGATGTATATGCTTTACATCCGGCCCTTTACAGACCGGCTCGAGAGCAGCCGGCTAGCCCTCCGCGATGAGGTCTATCTGCCGAGCGACTTTATCTGGCATCAGCACGAGAAGCCCGGTACGCCCTGGAATAGCAATCAGCTGTCTCGAGCCCTCGCCAAATGGACCCAGCACTATATCGGCCAAAGGATTACGCTGCAGCAGTGGCGGCATATCGCTATTGCCGTCAGCCGGCGGCATACTCGCGCCCGAGGGCCCCAGAGGGGGTATTTCGGCGCAGCCGATCAGGCAGAGGAGGAGGAGGAAGAAGGCGAGAGCTACGAGGATGTCGAGGATCTAGCTGCTGCACACACAAGCCGTACGGCTGCTGGCTATGCAGTGACAATTGAGATCCTTAAGCGGCTGACCTCTGAGTCTCTAGAGGTCTTTGGCCAGGCTAGTCAGCGCTGGCACCGCTTTCTTGGCTGTATAGCGGAAGATGCTGCTGAGAAGACTCAAGATATAGAAGTACAGAAAGATAAAGAAGAAGAAGAAGGAGAAGAAGAAGAAAGAAAAAAAGAAGCAGCAGCAGCAACAGCTAGCATTAAGACAAAAGCAGCTAGGGCTCACCCCAGCACAAAAGAAACAGTTCGAGGGAAGAAAAGGAGTAGAGCCAGCTTGGAACTAAAGGGCGGAGCTGAAGGGCAGAAAGCCGCCAAAAGGATCCGGCCTCTAGGGCTGCTACAGACAGCCGGCTCGGCCGCAGTTGGAGCCTTAGACGACCGGCTCCTCCTGCAGACTCTACGGCAGGCCCTGCAGAATCCGGCAGCCGAGTTCCGCTCAGCAGCACAGAAGGAGGTGTGAACGGCCTCTAGTAGCTGGATTCCAGCTATCTAGTCCAGGATGCTATTTACATCAAAGATGAAGAAGAAAGAAAGAAGTTCCCAAATGCCCCTGAGCTGTGGAACGATTTCCCGTCCCTGGCGCGCACGAGCCTCGTACGTCTTGCGGCACAGCCGCAAGGATATGGGCCCTGGCCCGTGACAGGAGGCTATCCAGCTAGCCGCAGCCAAGCAGACTCCTCTTGTGGCCGTCCTGCCTACCGGTGCCGGCAAGAGCCTGATCTTTATGGTGCCGGCCCTTCTGACTGGAGCCGGCATGACAATTGTAGTTGCGCCCATATCGGGCGCTCAAGGACCAGCTTGTCAGCCGCTGTCAGGATGCCGGCTGGACTGCCGGACCTGGCCAGAGGCTCAGGATTCCTGGCCTACAGTCCACTATAGTATCAGCCGAGGCTGCTATCACTGATAGCTTCCTGCAGTGGGCAGCCGGCCTCAGCGTCGGCAACCGGCTTGACCGAGTGGTTATCGACGAATGCCACCTCACCTTTACGGCAGCCTTGAGCTATCGGACAAGCTGAAGGGGCTGATCCGGCTGCGGGCCTCTGCTGCCCGCTTGTCTTCCTTACCGGCACTTGCCGCCGCACAAGCAGGCTGCTCTTGAGGCTGCTATGCTGCTGCAGAACCCTATCTACAT